CATCCCTGGAGAACATCCTGGCCACTTGAGGATGGGAAAACCGAGTCCTCCATGGGCCTGGCCCTCGGCAACTGGCAAGGAATGCCTCGCGGCATCTGGTGCCGGCCGCCCAGCGTCTTGCTTACCTGCCGAGCCGGGGGGGACCCAGGGACCGAGCGGGGGCTGCATCCCAGCTCCATGTTGGACCCTGGCAGCCTGGCTGAGGAGGAGGCGGCGGTGGGTGCCGTGGAAGAGTGGGCACTTGGGCACTTCCGGAGCCTGGTTTAGAGAGGGCGTCCTGTGGATCCACCAGCAGGCTCCGGGGCTGGCGTTGATGTGCTCGGCCCCATTTGAGGACTGGACCCAGGGCCCTGGCAAGTCCTGTGGTTGTCCCAGGGACACAGCCAGACCACAGCAGAGCCTGATCTCACCCAGAAGCTGAGCCATCCTCTGCCCCCGGGGCCCTAGCCACGACCCGGGCAGTGCTGGCGGCCCCTCCCCCACCCTCAATCCAGGGCTTTGTTCTCCCTGCTCCTGGGCTGGGACTGCCAGGACTGGCGGGCAGTCTTCAGCCCCTCCCCTACAGCCTGAGGCCTGCAAGCACACACATCAGGGCCCGAAGCCTGAGGCACTGAGGGTCCTCCCAGACTGGGTGAGGCCTTTCCTGAGGGCAGCATGGACACAGGGAGGGACAGCAGACCTCCTGGAGGAGGCATCTCTGAGCTGCCTGCCTCTGAACTTGGGGAGCCGAAGCCAGAAAGGAGGGATTCGGGTGGCCAGCCTGAGGTCCTCCTGGGGCCCCGGGGAGGCCCTGCGGGTGGAAGGTGCGGTCGGGGGCTGGGCCTGCCATAGAGAGGCCCCAGATTGAAACGCCGCCCTGCCACCTAAGGCCGGCCAGCCCCTTGCGCTCCCTCACACCCAGCCACAAGTCTGTACCCATCACTGCCTTCAAGGGGCCACTGACAGAACTGGCTCAGCCACAGAAGGTGGCAACAGCGGCCCCTGTGGTCCTCGGCCACCCCGTGCCACTCTCCAGTGGCCGCCTTGGGGTGCCAGACTCTAGACCCGAGCCCTGAGCATGTCAGAGGTGGCCAGGCCCTCCAGGGAGCCCCCTGGCCCTGCTCTTCGTGCAGCCAGGGAGATGGAGGCTCGGTGACAGCAAAAAGCCAGGGCAGACCCTGTCCTCGAGAGCCCTCAGCACAGGTGGAAGCGAAAGTTCGGCTTCCTGGCATGGGTGCCTCCGCCCTTCCTGCCCTCCCCTTCGCCGGAGCCATCCCTGGGGGAGGCAGGACTCCCAGACCACCCCCAGCCCTTTCTCAGAAATGCAGACGCACAGCGCCCGGCCCAAGTCTGCGCCGCCAGCCCTCCTCCCAAGGGCCAAGGGCAACGGCAGCCCCAGCGCCCCCCGCCACTTTCTAGCAGGCGTTTCCTGTTTGCCCAAGTCCACCCTCACCCCAGGCAGCCCTCTCTGCGGCTTTCTGTGCTTCCACCCACTTCCAGTCCTAGCCCCGGAGGCCGGGACCCAGGGAGGGTGCAAACGGACCCGGCCTGGGCACCGTGTGTCAGCTGGCAGTCCCACCTGCCCCCCACATCCTGGACCACAGTGGCCCACGTCCAGTCCTGGCTCCCTGACCAATAGGGTCGCTGGGCTCTCGGTGCCAGCCCGCCCAGCCCAGCACCCTCGGTCCCCCTCTACCCTGCGTAGCTGTAGCCTCACAGAGGAGACCAGCAGAGTTCAGCCCTGCCTCCCTGGTGACCTGCGCTGTGGCCAGTGCCCTTCAGAGACTGTAGGCCTTTTCTGTCACTGTGCTCTTCCTCTTTCTAATTATGACCACATTCATCCCAGATGCAACTTAGGTTAGCATTCAGGCGTGTGTCTGGTGGGACATGCTGGATGGCAGAAATCCTACACAGTACGACTTGATGTCCTACTTCCTGTCTCTGTTTTTTTTTAATTCAGCAGCGCCATGAAGGTCTTGGTGCCCATCCACCCCACCCCCAGCAGCCCCTCCTGTCTTGTTGCTGGGTGGGCAGTGGCCCGGCAGGCCTCCTCACACACAGGGGGGCGTTCAGGTGAGGGCTTGGGATCCACAGGTCCCGTGCTCCATCCTGGGACTGCTGGCTGCCGGTCCTGGCACGTGAGGCGAGCCAGGGGCTGGTGAGGACACCACCACATGGCCAGGGCCCTCTGCACCTGTGGATGGGTGGGCGGTGGGTTGGCGCTCGGCTGTTCCTCCTTCCCCGAGGCCCACTGTGCCTGGGCCCCCGGCCTGGGATGACCCCGTGGTGGGTGACCCACGCAAGTCCTCTGAGGGCTTACAGCCTGGTGGGGAAGGGGTTGCGTGCACTAGAGGCTCAAAAGGAGCCAAGGTGATGGGGGGGGGGGGTCCAGGGAGGAATCCGCTCCAGGGGCTTCCCCCAATCCCGCCGGCCCCGGCTGCCCCTGAGCTCTAGGGAATTTGCTGCTGGAAACGCAATATAAGAGTTACCAGGCAGTGGAAAAATTTGGAGCTAAAAATACAGCATGGCAGCCCCTGCCTCCCAGTTCCGGAACCCCGCTCCTGCCATTGTACCCGCCTTCCCCAAGGAAGACAAGCTCACTCTCTGCACCCCGCCCCCGCGCCCTCACTGGCTCTGGGCCCAGAAGCACCCCAGCCCCTGTGCTGATGCTGGCAGGGCTGCCCTGGAGCTGCCTCCGCACAGCAGCCAGCCCATCTCCCGGGTGCCCGTGTCCCCAGCCACTGCCCCCAACCCGGGTCCCCCAGCCCTCACAGCGATGTAGGAACAGAAGGCCAAACCCACTCCTCAAAGGTGCCGAGCTCTGGCACTTAGTCTGGGCTCCCCACCCCGCCACACTGTCCAAACCTGAGGGGATCCATGCGGTGGCCTCCCAGCAGCCATGCCCAGGACCTAGCCTGCTGCTCGGTGCCACCTCAGGAGGCCCTCTCTCTCTGGCTCAGTTTCTCCATCTGCATGGCAGCCGCTGGACTCTCAGGGCAGGTGGGGGGGACAGCTTCGACCCTGTCCCCTGTCCCCTCCCCAGGAACACACTCTGCTTGACAGACGCCTGCCAGGGGCGGTGGCTTCTCGTGAGTCAGCACCGCTGCCCGGGCATGTGGGTTCCCGGTTGGAGGAGCTGGTACTGCTGTTCGGGGCTGGCCAGGCACGGGCAGAAAGGCAGGTGGGTGTCTGTACCCCCTCCAGGTCCCGCGTGGGCTGGGTGAGCTCGGGTGAGCTCGGCTCAGCTGACCCAGGAGAGCTCTGAGGGGGAGGGCGTGATCCTGCCCCAGTGGGAACCCCACTTTATTGGTTGAAAAAGCTGAGCGCTGAAGAAAATTGGGGAACATGCCACTCATGTCAGAGCCCCAGTATCTTCCTCTGCAAAGACCCCTGCCCACTGGAGCTCCCTTGGTGCAGGGGGACGGACGGACCTCCTGCGGGACACTTGGGAGTGCTGAAGCGCCCCTCATTTTGCAGCCACCCGACCGACTGGGTGCAGGCTGGACCGCCAGGTGCCTGGACCCGGGAGACAGCCGTGCTCTTCGGCCGGAGGGGCGGTGGGGCGCAGGCTCCGTAAATGCAAATTCCTGCGCTCCCGCGCCCCTCTGCGGGGTGGGAGGGGCCGAGACCACATTCCTGAGCGCGTGGTTCCGCCCCCACATGGGGTGGGGCGCGCCGGATCACATTCCGGAGCATCTGGCCCCGCCCCGCCGCGGGCAGGCGGAGTCCGGGAGGGTCCCTGCGACCCTGTCCTGCCTGGGCGCCGGGCCTGGCTGGTGGCCGCGGGCTGGGCAGGACGGCGGGCGGGGCCGGGCCGCCCACGGGCAGTGTCGGAGGGTTCCCGAGCGCTCCCACGGTGCCCGCCGGGTCCCGTTTGCCCCCTGGGAGCCCCGCCGCACCTGTCCCCGTACAGACCCGGAGCAGAGGGGCAGAGGCCCGTCCCCGGGCGCAAGCCGGCAAGCCCAGCGGCCTGGCCTCTGCCTCCCACGCAGGTCCGGGGCCTGCCAGGAAGGGTGGTTCCCCGAGCTCTTCTGACAGCGGGAAATGCCCGCTTCCCTCTGGGCCCCCGGGCAGCAACGTTCAGCCAGCCCCGGACGGGGCCAGGCGGAGGCCGCCGCTCCTGAACGGCTCCTGGCGGGGACCAGGTCTCCGGCACTTGCATCCGGAGGGTGGGATCGCTTTCCAGTTGGATCACGCGTCTGCGCGGTCACTTACTGTGGGCGTACGGTGTTCACTCCGTGTGGACGCTGCCTGCGCGTCTGTCCGTCCTCTGCTGCCGCGTGAGATCACGTGCCTGCATGCGAGGCCCTCGTGTGTGTGCCGCGAGCGCACTGGTCTACGCACGTGTAGGACGCACGCATGGAGGGGCTGGACGGGCTTGTGAAACTCAGCCCCAGGCCACACAACTAGCATCCTTCGTGGGCAGGCCTGTAGTCGAGGCTGAGAGGGGGCCGCTGGTGGGGTCTCCTGGGGCAGTGAGTTGGGTGCGCACAGGGAGGCCTAGGCAGCGCCAGGTGGGGCTGTCTCTGAGAGGTTGTTTCCTGCATCTAGGGACCCCTGGGGCTCCTGGCTGGAGAAGACACTCAGGATGCTGGAGGCCTGGCCTGGGAGAGTTGGTGCTCCAGCCTCTCCGCCTGTGCCAAGGAAACAGGGACTGGGGCCAGTGGGGCGGGTGTGGGGGCGGGGAAGGGAGGGTCATTCCTGGCTGCCTCTTTTAAGCTGCAGCACCCACAGTGGGCGGCGGTGTGTGCCAAGGCCGCTCGGCCGTGCTCTTCATGGTGCCGGGAGCGGCCCCCTGCCCCGGTCCCGGGAGGTGGCCCGGGAGGGACCAGAGCCGCAGCGGGTAGCAGGGCTGCTCAGCGGTTCGCAGGGATGAGAAGCCGGCAGAGCGAGAGGGGCAGCCCAACGCAGGGCTCGGAGTGGGTGGGCAGAGGCAGCCGGAAGGTCCTGCGCATCTGGGTGAGTGGACCGTGGGGTACGGGGCAGTCACAGGGGCTAACCACACGCCGCGCCGCACCCTCCCCACAGGGACACCCACACCCACGGCCTCCCAGGATGCTCCCAGTGGGCCGCTTCCGGAGGTTTGGGTGAGGACAGTGCGTCTCATGCAGGGTGAGTGGCCCGGCGGGCCCAGAGCCCATGCCTCAGCAGGCCGGAGCCTCTCTTCCCCTCAGCCAGGCCGCCTCCTTGGGTCACCCCATGGGCCTGCGTGGCAGTCAGCCAGGGCCTGGGTGGGGGGCTGCAAATGGAAGAAAGGCTGCTGGAGTGCCAGGCCATCCCTTGAGGGAGAGGGGGGCTCAGGGAGCACAAAGGAGGACACCCAAGATGCTCACTGAGGCAGAGGGGGAGCAGGGCCTCTGGGAATGCTCGCCGTGAGCCAGGCCAGGGACAGACTTCTGGGCTCCTGTCCCCACTCAGCCTCCAGCTCCTGTAGGGCCTCCAGTGGCCCCTGGAGTCCCCCTCTAACGTTCCAGGTCCAGCAGCCCTGAGAGGGAGGCCGGGCTGAACGGCCAGTCTCTCTCCACCCTCAGCCTGAGGTCCCGGCTTACTCGCTTCCGTCCTTGCCAGCTCTGGGGTACGGGCACGTGACTTGGCTTCTCCAGTGCCACCCTTTCTTCTCCTGTAACTTCGGGGGCTGGGGTGGGCAATGGCGAGCCCGGGCGCTGGGCCTGAGGCATGGCGGTTCTCCCGTGCTCTGCTTCTCAGGCCCCCTCTCAGCAGCTCCGTGCCGTCCTTCTCATGCACTAAATGCAAGACCCAAGCCATACATGGTTGCAGGAGAGCCTGGCCTGCCCCTGACCTTTGAGGCCAGTCCCCAGGGGCTCTGGCCAAGGACAGAGTCACCACCAAGGGCCCCTAGGAGCGTGGCTTGGTGGGTGTGGTAAAGGCACAAAGGCACAGCGGGTATGGCCTCCTTTGGGGAAAGGCTGGTGTTGGGGGCATTCTTGGAGGGGGGTCGCCCCTGTTGAGACTGCATCCAGTAAAGCCCACATGCCAAGGGTTTAGGGGGACATCTGGTCCTCTGCCCATACAGCCTGACCACCTGAGGGCCTCGGAGGCCAGGGCCTTGCAGGGCTGCTTCCCCGCGGGGCCCTGGCTATGCTCGTGATGGGGGTTGGGCACCAGGCATGACCCTCGAGTCGGCCCCTTCCCCAGCCACACGCCTGAGGCTGTGGGCAGCCCCCAAGTTCCCAGAATCTGGAACAGCCGCTCCCTGTTCTCCCTATCTGACCCTGTCCCCGGGGCAGGGGAAGTGCTCTGGGACAAGATAAGGTAGCCCCAGAGACGCCACTTCTGGTGCGTCGTGACCACTGGGTCAGTGGTGTTCCTGCCGGTGTGGCCACCTCGAGATCCTCGGGTGGACGGGGAGGCGGTCCGTCAGGGGGGCGCGTGAGAAGTCCGTGGACGGTGGCGGCCCTAATGGGCCGAGGGCGCAGCTTCCCCCCTCCCAGGCCCGTTCGGCAGGTGAAGGGAGACACCACAGGGGGGGACCCCGCCTCCCGTCGGAGGCTGGGGGCTCACGGCAGGTCTCCCTCCGGCCCCACAGTTCGGCAAGATGTCGGTGAAGGAGGGTGCGCAGCGCAAGTGGGCAGCGCTCAAAGAGAAGCTGGGGCCACAGGACTCGGACCCCACGGAGGCCAACCTGGAGAGCGCGGACCCCGAGCTGTGCACCCGGCTGCTGCAGATGCCGTCCGTGGTCAACTACTCGGGCCTGCGCAAGCGGCTGGAGAGCAGCGACGGCGGCTGGATGGTGCAGTTCCTGGAGCAGAGCGGCCTGGACCTGCTGCTCGAGGCCCTGGCGCGCCTGTCCGGCCGCGGGGTGGCCCGCATCGCCGATGCCCTGCTGCAGCTCACCTGTGTCAGCTGCGTGCGAGCCGTCATGAACTCGCAGCAGGGCATCGAGTACATCCTCAGCAACCAGGCCTACGTGCGCCAGCTGTCCCTGGGTGAGCCGCGGCCGCGGCCCAGACGCCTCCCGCTCAGGCTGGGGCCCTGCGCCACGGAGGGCAGCGGGAGGGCGTCCTGAGGAGAAACCGGGTGCCCGTTTGCCCCAGGCCTGAGACGTCCGGGTCAGCCTGGAGCCATGGTCCAGCAGCACCTAGTTGTCCCCTCTGGTCCATGGCTTTGCCTGGCCCTCCCGCCCAGCCCTGTGCCTGTTTGCGCCTTACCCCCTTCCCTGCCTCCGGCCTACAGCGCCCCCCACCCCACCCCCGCCACCCTAGTCCGTGCCCTGGCAGCTGGACTCACCTGGGCCAAAGACACACGTCCAGCCGCGCGCCCCCGCTGACACGGTACCTGGCCGCGGGCCCCTCGAGCCTCACAGGTCGCCGCCGCTCAGTCCCGGCCCTTGCAGCTGGAGGGTCCTCCACCTGCCCCACACCTCACCCCTGCCCACTCTGTGCCCCGCCCCCACCTCCTGCTCAGGCTGCTCTGTGCCTTGTGCACCTGCTGACGCCTTAAGTTCTCACTCATGATTGCCTCCTCCAGGAAGTCTCCCCAGGCTGCACCCAGTGTTAGTCTCCTACCTTTGGGAATGACCTCAGGTGGTCCTTAGTGAGCAGGGGTCCCACTGTGTTCCTGGCCTGCCTGGCTGTCCTGCTCTGTGGTAGCAACCATGTCCCCCTGATGCTTGGGGCTCTAGGGAGGGGTGGGGGAGTGATGGTGGGTCGGCCCATAGGAGTGGGCGCATGCCTGTGTAGAGTCCTTTGTGGCCTCTCAGCAGGCCAGCTGAGGGACACCCCCAAAGCTTTCCCAGCCCAGGGGATGAGGTGGGAGGCAGGGGCTCATGACGACAAGGAGATACCCTAAGCTGCTGGGCAAAGTCATGGGCTTGGCCCGGGAAGCTGTGCCATAGTGAGCCTTGGGCCCAGAGCCAGCAGGAACCACTCTCAGAGCTAAGGCCCAGCTCAAGCAGACTGTCCCTGCAGGGTCTGCCTCTCCATTCCTGGAGAGATCAGCGCCCCGGGAGGGGGAGGCCAGCCCCTGATGTGGCCCGTGGGCTGGTGCAGAGTGCCCCCTGGTGTCCACCTACGGGCCCTGCCTGTCCAGCTGGAGTGTGGGTGGTTCAGGACAGCCAGGAGCAGAAGGAGCCCAGGCCTGGTATTGATGGGGGGCCCCCGCTGAGACTCCCTGGCCCTCCACAGCTCTGGACACATCCAACGTGATGGTCAAGAAGCAGGTATTTGAGCTGCTGGCTGCCCTGTGCATCTACTCCCCTGAGGGCCACGGGCTGACCCTGGACGCCCTGGACCACTACAAGGTGAGCCCCAGGGCACCTGGGTGCAGGCCAGGCGTGTGCTGACCCCGCCTGGGGCACATGCTGACCCCACCCGCCCTGCAGACGGTGCGCAGCCAACAGTACCGCTTCAGCGTCATCATGAACGAGCTCTCCGACAGCGACAATGTGCCCTATGTTGTCACCCTGCTCAGCGTGGTCAACGCCATCATCCTGGGCCCCGAGGACCTCCGCACCCGCACCCAGCTGCGCGGGGAGTTCACGGGTAAGCGCCACAGCCCGCGCCGGGGCCCCGGACATGAGTCCTGCGTGCTTCTCAGTGTGAGACTGACCCCCAGTCCTGCCAGTGCTGGCCATGCCATTTAGTGGGACAACGGCGTATGCCCTCCAGAGTGTTCCTGGCACCTGCAGGAATGGCAGGGTCCCCCTCCCACCCCATGGACGTTCTGGGTGGTGGGAATGAGCCCAGGGAGAGAGCAGAGGGGAAGGTGTCAGAAGATGCAAGCGACCTGGGACACGGGGTGACCAGAGCAGCCTCCGAAGCCTGCTGACCCCATTGTCCCTTCCCAGGGTTGCAGCTGCTGGACATTCTGACGCGGCTACGGTGAGTCTCCATCACTGTTCTCCAAAGCCAGGCTCACCCTCCCCTTGGGCCCAGAGCAGCACCTCCAGATGGGCAGAGGGGACTTCCGGGAATAGCCCCCGTGGGCCCGCCCAGCTGAACCCAGGTCCCAGAGACATCACGGTTGCCATCCGTCATGCTGCCTGACAGGACACCCTGCAGCACCTCCCGGCCCAGCAGCTTGGGGGGTGCCAGATACAATACTGAACGTGCCGTTGGTGTGAGCCCATCCCTTGTAGCGCATGCGGCATACTTAGGCTCAACAGTGCTTGCTGTTTTCCTGAAACTCAAACTTACTTGGGTTCCGGGAACCCATGCAGCTGAGAATGCCTCTGCCAGGCCCCTGTCAGGACCACTGTCCCGGCTACAGGGCCCATGTGCCCAGCACGCCCCACTCAGGGTTGTCTGTGCGTCTGTCCAGGGTTGGGAGGGAGGCAGGTGGGCCGGCAGCCTCAGCCCATCCGGTCCCTCTTGCCCCAGGGACCTGGAGGACGCTGACCTGCTGATCCAGCTGGAGGCCTTCGAGGAGGCCAAGGCCGAGGACGAGGAGGAGCTCCTGCGCATCTGCGGGGGCGTCAACATGACTAGCCATCAGGAGGTCTTCGCGTCTCTGTTCCACAAGGTGAGCCAGGGTACAAGCTCGCAGGGAACTGGCTCCAGAGACGGGGGTCCAGGGCTGCGCCATGGCTGCCTTCCCTGCCCGGGAGACCCCACCCTGACCAGAGCCGTAGGGCCGGATCTGGTGCCCCAGCAGGGAGCAGCGAGGGGCCGGGGGTGCTGGAGACAGGAGGAGCCCAGAGCCAGAGTGGGCCGGGGGCAAGTCTTCGCTGGCACAGGCCCAGAACCAAGGCCACAGGACCCTCGAGGACATTGTCCCAAAGATCAGAGGTAGCTGAGCAGTCCCGAGCTCCAGCCGGCGGATGGCCTCAAATGGCCCCAGGGGCTTCTGGACCGGCAGGAGGTCAGGAGGCCAGGTTCTGGTCCAGCCCAGGCCCTCCCCGGTGGGAGCACCTGCCCTTCACCGAACCCACGGCTCTCAGCCAGGGGACGAGTGTTGCCAGGACACATCCAGGACATCTGGACGCATGCGGGGGGTCTCAGTGGGGCAAGGGGTCCCACTGGCTTCAGGTGGGTGGAGACCAGGGATGCCAGGACACCTCCCACCACACGCAGGGCCGCCGCTAGCATGGAGAGGTGTCTAACCCCCAAAGTCACCTGTGCACCAGTCTGGGAAGCCCGGCTCCGGCCCATGTGCAGGGCCCTTGCGAGGCACAGAGCAGTGATGGGGCGGACGTCCCTGGTAGTCGGAAGCCTGCCGTTGTCAGCCTGCCCAGGAAGGGCGCAGCTACCAACCTGTCCTTTTCCTCCCCGCCCAGGTGAGCTGCTCCCCGGCATCTGCCCGGCTGCTGTCCGTGCTGCAGGGTCTCCTGTACCTGGAGCCCACCCTGCCCTCCAGCCAGCTGCTCTGGGAGGCCTTGGAGAACCTGGTGAACCGGGCCGTGCTCCTGGCCAGTGATGGTGAGCGGGTGGGGCGGCATGCCCCTGACCCCAGCCCAGCGGACAGACTGGGGCGTTAGACCACGTGGGAGGGCATCCCTCCTTGGCCCCTCGCCCTCCCACCTGCTCAGGCATTCTGCCCTGATCCTGGACACCCCCACACAGTCCAGGAGTGCACCCTGGAGGAGATGGTAGAGCGGCTCCTGTCCGTCAAGGGGCGGCCACGCCTGAGTTCCCTGAACAAGGCCCACAAGAGTGTCCAGGCCGACCTAGGCCAGAGCCGGAAGGACGGCACGCCCCAAAACAGTGGCTCCCTGAAGGCGGGTGTGGAGGAGCAGCAGCCGGAGGCCGGGCTCAGCGGTCTGCACCTCACCGTGCAGAGGGAGAACAGCTCTGTGGCCCCACAGCTGCAGAAACCCGCCCCAGTCCCACCGGCTCCCCCGCTCCCAGGCTCCTCCCCAGCAGGGCCCCCTCCCCCACCCCCACCCCCCCCACCGCTCCCACCGACCCCACTGCCAGTCCTGGGGGCCCAGGCCTCCCCACCTCCTCCTCCACCTCCTCCCCCACCCCCTCCCCCACCCCCTCCCCCACCCCCGCTGCCTGTTTTTGGCTGGGCCCCACCTCCCCCACCTCCCCCACCTCCCCCACTCCCGGTCCTGGGGTGCCCCCCACCACCCCCACTACCTGGCCTGGACGGGGGCCTCCCTCCACCCCCACCCCTGCCGGGTCCCTCCGGTGCCTCTCCCGTGGGTGGGGAGGAGATCATCGTGGTGCAAGCGATCCCGGCCCAGGGCTCTGCCCCGATCCCCAGCCACCGGCGAGTCCTCGCTCCCGCCCTGCGCATGAAGAAGCTCAACTGGCAGAAGCTACCATCCAGCGTGGCCCGAGGTGAGGACCCCCGTCTCCCTGAGCGGCCGCCCTCCCGAGGCCGCGGACCTGGCCTGCTGTGCACGCCCCCCACCGCGTGTGGTGTATGTGCCCGGGTCTGGGCCGAGGGTCCCCCCGCTGGTGGGCGGGACTGGTCAGTTTCCGCCCTGGGCTCCGCTTCTGGGTCGTCCGGGGCGGGACGGGGGCGGGGACCGGGCGGGGGCGGGGACGGGCCAGAGGTCACCTCTGAAGACCCTTCCTCCCCCACGCACCCTGGTAAGCCGAGATGTCCCTCTGCTGCCACAGCCCCTGCCCTGCCCGGGCCCCGGGGTGCTGATGCTCGGTCGGAGAAGGTCAGGGCCGAGGCTTGCGAGACGGCCGGTCCCCCGCCAGCGGGGACACGGGCACGCGTGCGTCCGTCCGCGTGCGCGCAGCACGACGGCAACCGGAGGGCATCCCTGGTCCCCAGGGCGGGCGTGAGCCTGACCGGGGACCCCACCCCCCAGAGCAGAGCTCCATGTGGGCCTCGCTGAGCAGCCTGGGCGCCGAGGTCGTGGAGCCCGACTTCTCCAGCATAGAGCGGCTCTTCTGCTTCCCCGAGGCCAAGCCCAAGGAGCGCATGGCCGCGCCCGCCAGGAAGGAGCCCAAGGAGGTGGGGCCGGCCTGGCCCAGTTAGGGGGGACGGGGGTCTCAGTGCGGCCACAGGTACCAACACCAGGGCGGGGTGTTTTCCAGATCACCTTTCTGGACTCCAAGAAGAGCTTGAACCTCAACATCTTCCTGAAGCAGTTTAGATGGTGAGCAGCCTATCCGGCCAAGCCCTGCCCTCCCGCTCCTGCCATGTAGGGCTGCGCAGTGCCCTCCTGGCGCGGCGGGGGGGCACTCCGGGAAGTGCGACTCCCCCTCCCTGGGGCCAGTCGGTGCCCCTGACCGCCCCAACTGGGCGCCCTGGAGAGCCCCAGCCTGCTCCTTGGGGAAGCGGAGGCCCAGACCGCAGCGGGCAGTGCCCCCAGCCCCCAGCGGGCAGTGCCCCCAGCCCCCGGGTCCTTCCCTGCAGCTGCTGAGTGTGGGCTCCTGCCAGGGAGCTCCCTGGGCACGCGTGAGCCTGCCTGGGTCCTCAGCAGCCCCCAGGAAGGAGGTGCAGGGGTGCCCTGACAGGCAGGGAGCATGGGAGTCCGCCCCCAGCCACGTTACTGTGCGACCCCAGGCAAGTGAATTGCCTTCTCTGTGTCCCTGCAGCTTGGGCCCGAGCAGCAAAGAGGTCATGGGCTGAGGGCAGTCCCTCACCAGCAGGGTCCCCCAGGATTCCAGAGGAGGGGGCCGGTGCTCCCTCTGCTCCCACCGAAACCACGCCCTCTCTCCTGCAGCTCCAATGAGGACGTCACTGCCATGATTCGGGCTGGGGACACCACCAAATTCGACGTGGAGGTTCTTAAGCAGTTCCTCAAACTCCTTCCCGAAAAGCATGAGGTGAGTGGGGCAAAGCCTTGCCAGCCCTGCCCGGGTGCTCCCCACAAGGGAAAGAGGAGGGGACCCACGGACACACAGAGCTGTGCTGGACATGAGTGGGCCCTGGCGGGGCAGGCATGGGCAGGTGCCGGGTGGTGCGGGGGCTTCCTGGGAGGGGATGGAGACTGGAATCCCATGCGTGGGCCTCCTCCCTGCAGATCGAAAACCTGCACTCGTTCACGGAGGACCGCGCCAAGCTGGCCAACGCCGACCAGTTCTACCTCCTCCTGCTGGGCATTCCCTGGTGAATGGGCCGCCCTCGGACCCCAGGGCCCACTGGCAGGGATGGGGCCGGGGGAGCCGGGCCCAGACCTAGGGGAGGGAGTGCGGCTGTGCAGACAGTTCCCTTGGGGCTCCATGGGGAGCGCTGCACGTATCATTCACGCTCCCCACTGCTCCGAGAAGGCAGGGAGCCCTGCAGGGGGACAGCTGTCTTCCGGGTCCCATGTGGGTGCTTGTCTCAAGTGCCCCTCCCCAGGCCCTACTCCGGTCCTGCAGAGTCCCCATCTGGAACCTGGCCCGGAAACGTGCACGCTGACCAGGGCCAGGCTGTGGGCCCCCGTGCTACAGGCCCTGGGTGGGTGGGGGACCCAGGCCCTGATTCCCCGCTCTGTCCCCAGCTACCAGCTGCGGGTGGAGTGCATGCTGCTGTGTGAGGGCTCGGCCGTCGTGCTGGACATGGTGCAGCCCAAGGCCCAGCTGGTGCTCGCGGCCTGCTGCAGTGAGTGGGGAGCACAGCCTGGGGCCGGGGGGGGGCCCGGAATCCACACGGCGAGTGGTCCCAGGGCACGGACCTTCCCCACCTCACCGTAGACACATCCCCTGCCCTAAGGCACATGCCACGCACACACACGTGTGCGTTCACAGACGCACACAGGCACAGGCGAGCACACACACACAGTAGCACGGGCACGCACGGGCACACACACACAGAGACGGGCGAGCACATCGAGGGGCGTGCTCAGGGACACCTGTGAATGCTCAGCAGTCTTTCCAGAAGAGGGTTCAGCAGGAATGTACCCCAGCCCCAGGGCAGGGACGCACGTAGTGGACATCCACTCCCATGTCAGCCACCATCCCTGAAGCCCCAAGGGATGGTTAGTTGAGAACCAGGGAGGCCACCACTCCAGCCTTTTGGAAGGTTCCTCTCAGCAGCATCGTACCCGGAGAGGGGCCAGGGGTCATCTGCTCCCGGGGTGGGGAGGGTACAGGAGTGCAGAGTCCCTGGGCCTGCTCCTGGTGGGGGCTGGAACCCATGGGGTTCCACCCTGGGGACCACACCCTGGGGAGGGGAAGGAAGACCCCCACACCACAGCTGCAGACCCCTCGCAGCACCTACCCCTCCCTCAGCCCTGGCGCCCTCCCCCAGGCCTGCTTACCAGCCACCGGCTGCCTGTCTTCTGCCAGCTGATCCTGAAAATTGGAAATTTCCTCAACTACGTAAGTGGGCCCGGCCCCCGCTACCCCCCATGCCCAGCCCCCATGCCCACCACTTCCCACCGGGCTTCAAGGGCCCTCACTCCACACCCGGACCCTCGCAGGGCAGCCACACGGGGGACGCCGACGGCTTCAAGATCAGCACGCTGCTGAAGCTCACGGAGACCAAGTCCCAGCAGAGCCGAGTGACCCTGCTGCACCACGTGCTGGAGGTGGGCCCGGGCTGGCCCCATGGCCCCTCAGGCACCCCTGGGGCCAGGGTGTGGCCATCACCAAACTCACCTGACTTGTCCTGTTGCAGGAAGCAGAGAAGGGCCACCCAGACCTCCTGCAGCTGCCCCAGGACCTGGAGCAGCCCTCCCAAGCAGCTGGGTATGTGCCCCCTGCCCCCCCACAGGGCTCGCCCGCACCGGCGCCCCCACCAGCACCCCTGCCTCTGGTCCTGGCCAGTGAGGTGGCTGGGCCAGGCTGGGCCCCCAGGAACCACTGCCCCCTAGAACGGTCATTTTCACATCTGAATAGGACCTTGGGTCCATCGTGGCCTGTTCCTAGGTGATTTACAGGAAGAAACAGGCCTAGGAGCGGTAGGGAGCGACCTGGTCGTGGTCACACCAGGGATTAGGCTCATGCCACCTTTTTACAAGGCTGAGTCTCGTAACAGCCCGTGAGGAAGGCCGTGCCACTCCCATTGTACAGATGAGGACACTGAGGCCCAGGCACGTGGGGCTGCATCCCTGGGGTCACTCATCCCAGAGGAACAGCTCAGGGAGGGTGGCCTGGACCTTCCAACTCCAGGTACACACTGCTAGGGAGGTTCTCAGGCCTGAGAGCCAAAGATGGGCTGAGCTGCTGGGGTCACTGTCCCAGCACTTTACCCGCGGCACCGCCTGGCCCTTCCCGGAGTTCTGATGTGCTTCTAGAACCTGAGGGCGTGCAGCCCAGTGTCCCCCGCTATCCCTGAGGCTGTGCTGTCCGCTGTCCCCCGCTGTCCCTGCGGGTGTGCTGTCTGCTGTCCACTGCTGTTCCTGCGGGGGTGTGCCGTCCACTGTCCCCGCCATCCCCGTGGGTATGCCACCCAGCGTCCTCCGCTGTCCCCACGGGTGTGCTGCCCACTGTCGCCCACTACCCTGAGGGTGTGCCGTCCACTGTCCCTGTGGATGTGCCGTCCAGTGTCCCTGCTGTTCCTGCCGGTGTGCAGGCTGAAGGCCCCCACTGGCCCCTCCGCTGACCCTGCAAGGCTGGACATCAGCTGTCGCCTGACCCCGCCTGGCTCTGGGGTTTTCAGGATCAACCTTGAGCTCATCCGTTCGGAGTCCAGCACCAACCTGAAGAAGCTCCTGGAGATGGAGCGGAAGGTGTCGTCCTCCATCCCCGAGGTGCAGGAGCAGTACGCCGGACGTCTCCAGGCAAGCCGGCCTGGGGTCCGGGCCAGGAGGCAGCTGCTGGGGGTTCTCCCGGGTGGTGGGGGAAGACAGGCCAGGGTGAGGGGCCCCGTAGGAGGGCAACATGCTGTCCCTGATCCCAAGGTCATTCCTGCAAGGGAGGGGCTTCCTCTGAGCCTGGGGCCTGCGGTGCCCTGACCTCCCTGTCCTGCTCCGACACCGCAGCGGCCATCCTCCTCCTGCAGCCCGGCCCCGCCCTGCCCCCAGGGCTCCCCGGGGCTGTGACCCTTTGAGGGCCGGTGGTGCCTTAGGTGGGGCTCTCCCTGGGCCGTGACCGCGCCCTCCCGTCCCCAGGCCAGCATCGAGGCCTCCCGGGCGCTGGATGAGGTGTTCCGGGCCATCGAGGAGAAGAAGCTAGCGCTGGCGCGGTACCTGTGCGAGGACGTGCAGCGGCTGTCCTTGGAGGACACGTTCAGCACCATGAAGACCTTCCGGGACCTCTTCGTGCGCGCCCTGAAGGTGGGCCAGGCCCGCACCCCTCCCCGGGCTCAGGCAGAGCTGCTGGAATCGCCGGGGTGCCGGGCTCGTGCTGTCCTTCGAGGGCTGGGGGTCACGGGCTCCCCATCCACCTGCACAGGACAACAAGGACTGGAAGGAGCAGGCGGCGAAGGCCGAGAGGAGGAAGCGGCAGCTGGCTGAGGAGGAGGCCCGGAGGCCACGGGGCGAGGACGGGAAGCCTGGTGAGGCCAGGCCCTGGCCGGGGGGCCCAGGGGGAGCAGGGGGGGCCTCCGAGGGGCCGGGTCTCATCCCCCATCCTCGAAGCTCTGAGGGCACCGCCCACCCCCTCCAGGCCATCGTCTCCGGGTCACGTGGGTGGGCTCCAGGGACCCTCAGGCAGCCTATCTGAGGGTCCGGGGGCCTTTCAGTCAGGAGGGGAGTTGGGAAGCAGGAGGAAGTGTGTGTCATCGACGCCCTGCTGGCGGACATCAGGAAGGGCTTCCAGCTGCGGAAGACGGCCCGGGGCCGAGGGGACGCAGAGGGAGGCGGCAAGGCAGCTGCCACAGACCCACCAAGGGACAAGGCGCCTGGTGAGAGAATCTCCCACCTTTCATCACTGTCTCCCTCCTGCTGTCCTTGCTGCCTCCTACCTCCTCTCCTCCAGGAAGCCCTCTCTGACCTCATGGGAGAACCCTCATGGTTGCCTTGCTACCAGAGAAATGGCACAGCCATGAGGTGGGGTTAGATGGGTAGCTCGGCCTTCTGGTCCCCTTGCCGGTGGCAGAGGGCTCCCTGCAGCCCCCTCGGGCCGTGGGCCTTTGACCCGTGTCTTGGGGCTCGCTGATGCTGAGGTGGTGGGAGAGGTGGGCCTGGGGCCTGATGGGGGCCGCTCCACTCAGCGTGGCTGCCCGGAGTGGGGGGGCTCTTGGGACGGGCATGAAGTTGGCCCAGTGTCCCCTGCCCAGCCACACCACGGGCCTGCTCTCTGGGAACCCACACTTCGGGGCCACCAGGGCAGGCTCTTGGGGCAGTGGGCTCTGAGCGCTGGTGGCATTCGGGTAGATGTTGGGATGGACAGAGGCCCTCTGCTTGGGCACGTCCTCAGGATGGTCTGGGAGTCGGGCCCTGCCCTCAGCTGCCGTGTCCTGTGTCCACAGCGGCCACCAGAGTCCCCGCAGGAGGCACCGGCGGCCCCCCCTCTGAGCCCCAGGGCTGGGATCTCTCCGACGCCACTGTCCCTAGCCCACAGCCCACTGCAGACCCGCCACAGGGGAATGGGCCTGGGTCCCTGGAAAGGCGTTCTTCCTGGTACACAGACGCCAGTGACGTCCTGACCACCGAGGACCCCCAGAACCCCCAGCCTTGTCAGGGCGCCTGGCCAGTGGTGCTGGGCAGTGCGCAGGCCCTGAAACCTCTCAGGCTGTCTGGTGACAAGCCCCCTGGGGCCACGGGGTCAGGCCAAGATGCTGAAGACCCCACAGCCCCTCAAGGCGTCCACTGGGCTGAGGCCGACAGCACCGTGGAGGGGACGCAGGAGGCTGACCTCCCTGCCACAGGCCCTGGCGTGGCTGCGGACAGGGATGGGGACCAGGAGGACACAGCAGCCCCAGATTCTGCACTGGACACGTCCTTGGACAGGTCCTTCTCTGAGGACACAGTCACGGACTCTTCAGGGTCCGGCACTCTCCCCAGGGCCCGGGGACAGGCCTCAAAGAGGATGGGCAAGCGGAGGAAGAAGCGTCCCTCGAGGAACCAAGAAGGTAATTTGGGGCTCCCCTCCCATCGTTCCTCGTCCCCCGAAGCAGGGCTCCCGGGTAGGCAAGGCCCATGGAGCGTGGGGACACCGGTGTGTGGTCAGAGCTCGTCCAGCCCCAGCAGGGCCCCCGCCTCTCGCTGCCGCTGGCTGTTCCCTCCTCTTCCTCCCGAGAGTGGGTGATTCCCAGGACACCCCACGTCCTGCAGGAGAGGAGACGGCCACTGTTCCGCACGGGGGAGGAGCAACTTTGGTTGGGGGAGCGCTGCCCTTGTCCCCACACCCCAAACCCCCTAACTCCTGCTTCATGCTGTCCCTAGCAGGGAGCGGCAGCTGGGGCGGGTGTAGCCCGGGGCTGCCCCAGGCCCAACGGGTTTGGCTCCGTGTCCACACAGCCCGAGCGCCCGGCAGCCTGGCCCCAGCTCCGAGTTCAGGGCAGGCCAGGAATAAGCCGTTGAGTGCGTTTCTCTTATTTGAAAGCAGAGGTTGTCCCTGACTCTGATGATAATAAAACAAAAAGACTCTGTGTGATCCAGTAAGGTAGGTACTCATGCTGGTGTCCTGCACTAACGGTGGCCGCGGAGGCCGGGCCCGCGCCCAGCCCCTCCTGGACGCTAACCTGCCTCCCTCCAGCCTGCCTGGGCCTGTCGGCAAGCCCTGCCTTCCTGTGCTGCTGGTGCTGGGACCCGCCTGGCCCTCTGCCTTCTCCTCCCTCTCTGGAAGGGCGGGAGCCATGCCTCGCTTAGCTGGTGTCCGCTGTGTGCCAGGCGCGACCTTGGAACTGTGCGCCGAGCAGAGGGGCCTCAGGAGTGTGGGGGGCCTCCGAGTGGGACAGGCAGGAGGGGGTCGCCTCTGCCCCAAGCAGTCCGGCTACCCTGGGGCTTTCCCGACTTCTGTCTCCCAGGGTGGTAACCTTTGCTCTGAGACCTTCCATGGGGCACACACCAGCTCTGGTTGGGCCACAAATGTCCCCAGGGAGGCAGTGAGGGACAGAGGCAGCCCCAAGGCCCAGCTGCCAGGAAGAGACGGGCCATGGGCCCTCTCCAAGGAATGGACATGCCTCCCCTCCCTGGTAGCCAGGTCCTGGGGACCGCAGATGGGTCTGTAGGCACATCCCGGGTCCACAGCACTAGGCCTCCCAGGACCCCAAGGATGGGCAGGACCATGGTTGTCTCGGATGTGGCCCGAGAGGCTCACAGGTGCAGACAGACAGGCCTGGGGTCCCTGCTGCGTTCTGGGCCGTGCTGATGGCGAGCCGATCCACTTTCTTGGGAGCAGGGGGCCGCCTGCACCCAGCTCGGTGCTGACCCAGAGGACCCGGGGCATGGAGGAGAGGTGCAGCGGTACCCAGAGGAAGCAAGGGCAGGCGAGAAGTCAGTGCACCCTCTGGACGGTTTATTCTCGCTCTTGGTACGGGCTTTAGCCTCAGTCCCCGAGTTTGCTGCTGGGCTTACTTTCGGAGCCTGGCTCTCGGGTGCGAAACACCAGCGTACACTAGCGAGTGAGGCCGTGGGGGTGTTTGGGTTTGGGGGTTCAGCAGCCACATGTGGCCACGGTCCAGGGGAAGCTTGGTGTGCCCAGCACGGCTCTGCGCCCCCGCAGGACCGCCCCCATGTCCTCTGGCACAGCAGTCCGCTGCCGCCCGCTCGCTCCCCCTCCCCGGGCCCCAGCATCCCCTTGGCTGGGAGCAGGAGGGAATCCCACCCTCTCCGTCTCCTCAAGCTTTTATTTGGAAAAACGGCCGCCAGACAGGGAATTTGCGAGACCATAACGACCACCACGTGTCCTTCACCCAGAAACGGCAAGAACTTTCCAAAACTAGCAAAATTATCAGCATTTGTGGCATTGCTTTCAGCTCACTGAGGGATTGGAAGGTTCAAGACATCTTGCCGCCTGGCCCCCGAACCCGGCCCCCGGGGTGTCCTAAGTGAGGCTGCTCTCACGTGTTTGGGGCAGGAATTCCACGCACGTGACCTGAGTCCACCCCAGAGCAGGTCCAGAGGGGCTCGGGGCCCATTATCCCACAGGCCAGGGCCTGGAGGCCAACTGCCTGGTTGAGGCGGTGATGTGGGAGCCCCTGCTGTGTGGGGTCCTGGTACCTTGGGGGGCAGGGACAGAAACCCCGCTCTGAGTGACTTTTGGCCTTTCTGCCTCCCGTTTTTTGTCCTATCTTTTTCAAGCACGATAGTCACTCCCGTCTGCTCAGGACCCGGGGGTGGCCTGGGGTGGGAGGGGGCAGGTGGGCAGGGCGTCAGCGGGGAAACGCAGAACAGTGGCCCTTGAACCAGAGGGCTCTGGGGGGCAGGGGGCCTGCAGAGCCAGGTAGGGGGCGTCCAGGTGGCAGGAACCAAGGAGCTGTGGCCGCTGGGAAAGGACAGGTCTGGAGGCATCAGGGGTCGGGAAGCTCAGGGAGAGGCAGCCAGCGGGACTGATGGGGGCGGGCAGTGTGGCCTGGCCCTCAGGGGAGGGGTGAAGTCAGGTGGGGGCGCGGGGAATGGAGAAGTGAGGGGAAAGCAGGGCCTGGTGGGGGAGAGAGCAGGGCCTGGTGGGGGTGAGTGTGGGGAGAGCAGGCCCAGGGATCCGGCCTGGGCAGGTAGACAGGAGCCCGCGGGTTGGGGGGTCATCCCGGTGACTTCCACCTGGAAGGGTCTTGCTGCTGGAGAGCAAGGGTATGGGGTCAGCGTGGACCGAGAGAGACGCAGTACAGCCCTCCGGGCCGTGGTGACAGGACCACAGGAGCCTGGGGACCCGGAGGCAGGCACCTTGGCATTGTCCCCAGCAAGTCCGCTCCTAAAGATGCTGTTCCTCTCGCTTCCCACAGGCCTCAGCCTTAAGCCCAAAGCCAAGTGAGAGTGCTGCGGCCGGCCCCACCGCGGTGGGCCCCCGGAGGTACTGCTGAGCTGGGCCCCTCCAGGGCCAGGCTGGAACCGGGCCCCTGGGAAACCAAAACTCTGTGCCTTACCCTCCGGGGAGGTGGGCCTCCCAGAGCTGCTTGGGGTGCTCTGGCCGAGACCCCAGCAGGCCCCAACGCCCGGCCTCCAGGCCCCCTCCTGGACAGCCTGCACGCCCCCAGCCCCCGTGTGGTCCGCTTTCTGAATGCCGATGCGCACGCCCCCGCATGCCCCACGGCACTGCCCGCAGGGGTGAGGAGCCTCGGCTGCGTCCCCAGGGCGCCTCTCAGCTGTGCCCTGCCCTCCAGCCCCCTGGCGCTCAGAAGCTTCTGGAGATGGGCCCTCACACACCTCTCCCCACAGAGCCACGGGAGCCAGACAGAGCTGGAGCCCCCACACCCCCGCCCACTGCCTCCTGACCGAGCCCTGGCGCCCTGCTCCCTGCGCCCAGTTCCGCCTCAGCCTGCTTACCCGGGCTGGGGCAGAGCAGTTTCTAACTGAGTTGGATTGTTTCCGTATCTGCTCTTCTGCGGTAGCTGAGCTGGGCATGGGTGGGTGGAGGACCCCCGGGCCTGTGGCAGGGGCAGGCTGGCCGGCGTGGTCCCTCTGCCCAGCAAACAGGTGGGGGATCCTGTGGAGCTGGCCCCCACCCCTGTACTCCCAGCCCTTGCTGCCACCGGGCCTGGCCACCTTGTCACCAGAATGATCGTCGCTGTGGCTATGTCTGCTGCCACCTCCAGAGGGACTGGGCTCCACCCCTGCTAGGCTAAGAGGAGGCGAGGACCCAAGCCTGGGGGTGGCCAGCCCATCCCCCGCCCCATCCCTGCCCCATGTCTGTGCTCCCGAGGCTGGCGTGAGGCTGGCGTACGGAGAGGCTCAGACCAATAAAGAAGAAAGCTGGCCCAGGGAGTGCTGTGTGGTGTTCAGGAGCAGCAGGCAAACGGGCAGTAACCCTCGCCGCGGCTGTCCTGGCCTGCCCACTGCCCCAGAGCCCCCCGGGCCCGGGCCGGAGCAGGTGCCCTATAGATGCCAGCTTGGGGGCGTGGGGAGCCCAGCACGTCTGTACAAAAGTCTCGCCTGTGGACTCCAGTGGGTTTCCACAGCCGTCCAGCACAGAGATTCAGTTCTAGGACACCCCATCGTGCCCCGAATTCTCTTAGCAGGCGCGCCCCGTGCCGCTTCCCCCGGCCCCAGGTCTGCTTCCATCTCCATAGATTTGCTTTCTATGGACATTTCCTATAAACAGAGGCCCCTATGTGGCCTTCCGTGGCCGGCTTCTCCCAGCAGCATGTTTGCGGGGTTCACCACATTGGAGCGTGGGTCAGGACTCTGCGCCTTTGCCTGGCAGAGTGGCATTGTGCCGTGCAGGCGGGCCTCACGGCGTGGACAGCCCCGGGGGCGGGGCTCCTGTGTGAATCAGCCGCGAGTCGGTGGCCGTTCACAGAACGGTGAGGGGCCCAAAGTACGGCACTGCTTTGTCCTCAAGGGCGTGAGCGCCTGTGCCCACGGTGACCATGGTGTCCACGTCTGCGACCACCGAGCATGAGGTGGCCTGTGGCACACTGTGGCCCAGGATGGAAGCCCCAGGTGGCTGAGCCCACCCCACTCCCACAGGGAGCCCCCCAGCCTCGGTGACCTGGGCTGCCACGACCCCGGTGACAGGCCCATGGCGCACAGGCCGCTGCAGGGGGGACATGTTCTAATTCAGGCGAGGCCGTGTGACAGGCCAGGCCCAGCTGCCCGCGGGGACAGGGCTGTTTATAGAAAAGCCCGACCCCCCCACCAGGCCCTCTAGCTATTTATAGAGCCAGGCTTGGGGGAGTCGCTGCCCCTGCCCGCCACCATTTGGCCCTGAAGATCCCGTGTGAACCCCATGGTGGCCCGCTGAGCCCCACGCTCCCCCGAAAGGGCCCCAGCTAGCACCCAGCCCTGCCGGGACTCCAGCCCATCGCCCCTCTGCGGGCGTACTGGAGGCAGCAGACAGCCCTTCCCACTTTCCTGCTCCCTTCGGCCACCAGGCTGCCTTTTCCTCGTCTACATGGCCAGCGTCTGTGCCCCAGGCCCACTCCCACCGCCTTCCCCCAGTAACACCCAGGCACCCTGGCCACAGCCCCTGCTGGCCACCCGATGCCTGCTCGCCCCGGCCTCCCCAGAGTCTCCGGCCATCCTGCCTCTGTTCAGCCAACTTCCCACAGGTGGGCAAGAGGGAGCTGCTGTCCCCCAGGAAGGCCAAGGACAGGAAGCCCACCCCTCACACCCCACTTGTTGCTTGCATTCCGGCGTTTGCCCCACAGCAATGCCGGGAGAAAGGAACCGGTGGGGTCTCCATGGGAGAGAACAGGGTCCCAGCGGGAGCCCAGAGGACTGTAGGGAGGGAACAGGAGAGGTCTAAGGAGGGCGGGCGGACAGCGCCCTCCTCTGCTGGGACTCTCCATGAGTGACCTCTGTCTGACTCTTCTCTTCCTCCATGGGAACTTTTGGTTCCCCTGGGGGAGCCCACGGAGTCACAGGCTAATTGCTGGGCTCCAGATCCCTCTGTACTGAAGACAGTCCCCCCACCAGAGAGGGAGCGGGGTCTCCTGGCCCTGGGGGGGAGGGGTCCATAGCACCCTCCTGCCCACAGGGGTCCATCCCTGGCCCCTAATCCCAGCGGGGCCAGCCATGTCCAAACCCGAGTCCACACGGGAGATTTGGGGGGGGAAGGGTGGGCCCCGCAGGAGCCCAGCAGACGTTGCAAATCCTCTCCAGAAGCCCAGACCCTCCAGAGGTGGGCCAGGAAAGGGTCCGCCGCGGGGCCTCGTGGAGCCTGCCAGCTGCTGCAGACCGGCATATTGGTCCTGCTACTGCTCGTCGTTGCTGGACACTGAGCCCGAGAGTGTGGGTGGGGGTGCTGGGGAGGGGACGTGCTGTCCTCCCCACCAGAGCGTGTGCGTCGGCCCCAGACCAAGCTTCACCACAGGCAGGCGCCCCCTCCAAACCCCCAGTGCGGTGTGAGGTCGTGGCTCCCCTCTCACCCTGAAGAGGACCCCCCCCAGCTTTCTAAAACCCTGAGGTCCCCGGCCTGGTGAGGACCCAGGGGAGTGGGTACCCAGGTCCCGCCCCGGGACAGGGCCACACAGGTGTCCCCATGAGTCCCCACGGGGGAACCTGGCCGTCTGTCCTTGTGCCCCCGACTCCAGAAGTGGGTGCCCGCGGCCGCGGCTCCCGGTGGTGGCTGGGCGGGCAGGGGCGGGACCCGGCAACCTGGAGGTCACCAAGAGGCGCCACTGCACCAGCCTGGCCCGCCCCCGGCCCGCCCCCGGCCCCAGGCCGGCTCCTTTTAATGGCACAGCGGCCGGGCTCTCCCGTGGCCCAGCGCAGCTGAGGAGCCAGACCAACATGTCGGGGACCCGCGCCTCCAACGACCGGCCCCCGGGCTCAGGTGGCGTCAAGCGTGGGAGGCTGCAGCAGGAGGCGGCGGCCACCGGCTCCCGGGTGACCGTGGTGCTGGGCGCGCAGTGGGGGGACGAGGGCAAAGGCAAGGTGGTGGACCTGCTGGCCACGGACGCCGACATCGTCAGCCGCTGTCAGGTGCGGGCCCCCCCCCCCAGCAAGCCCCCTCCTCCCCTTGGACCTGGGCCCTGTTCTCCCGCTCCCCGACCTGGACACGCCTCTTGGATGCCTCCCCTCCCTGGACGGCCTCGGAGGCCACCGGACCCTTCTACACGCACACACTCCCCTCTCCCCTCACTCCCCACACTGCCTTCCCCACCCAGCCCCACCTCTCCAGGCCGTGCGCCAGGGCGGAGCTATAAATGCCTGTGCTGAGCTGGGGACACCCGATCTCCAGGCAGTGGGGTGGGGTGCGCCATGGGTGTGCCACAGGGCCCTCCGGCGTGGGGGTGGGGTGGGGGCCCCAGCTCCTGGCTGGTCTGAGACACCCTCCCTCCTCACTGTCTGGGGCTGGTACGGGGGGCTGACCACAGGGTGGCCCTGGGGGGCCAGCCAAGAGCAGACAGAGGTAGGGGCAGGACCATGGACCAGATGGAAGACAGGCCAGGGGCAAGGAGGGTCCCCGGCCAGACTCGGGGCAGGGGGGTGGCCACGGATGGCTGGCCAGGGTGACCCAGTGTCTGCCAGTGCCACCAGGGAGGCCAGACATGGGCTCTGTACCCAAGGGCCCAGGGTGACCACTGCCAGCTGTGGGCTGTCCTCAGGGTTGCTCCCTGGGGCCACCACCCCTGTGCCAGGACTGAGAGCTATGCTTGGCGCTGGGGCGTAGAGCTCAGGGCACAGAGGGGGCCGGTTTTAAGGTGCATGTTTTGGCTGTGTGGGGTTTGGAGCCGTGCCCACAAACGCCACCCCAGATGGGGAAGGAGCACCCCCTGAGCTTTTCGTCTGGTGTGGGGCTTCATTCCCAGCTCCTGCCAGGAAGGCTAGGGCGCGGGCCCACTCCCAGGGAAGGAAATGGGCCCCACGCTTGGCTCAGAGAACACGCTTGGCTCAGCCGCTTTCTGGGTCACTCCTGTCCCACACAGACAGTGGGTTCTGCAAGGTGCACCCCAGCCTGATAGACTTCCTACCCTCTCTGACCCAAGCCAGGTGAGCAAGCCCCATCCCGGCCAGGACAGCCTCCAGGAGCCAGAGGCGGTCTCCGGGTGCCCTGCTGCTTGAGCCAGGGGCCCTTGTCCCACTGGGCACATGGTGCCACCGCCCTCCATGTAACCTGCTGGCTCCCGTGAGCCTCCCAAGTCTGTCTGTGGCCCGTCTCCCTTCTGAAGAGCCCAGAGGGCTTTGCAGGCCATCCTGACCACAGAAATGGCTCTGGCGTGGGTCCTCCCTGCTCTGCCGCATGGGTCAGCAGGACAGGACCAGCCAAGCACAGAACAGACGGGAGCCCCGTCACCTGACCTGGGGGCCCACGGGGCACCCTCGCCCCTAGCTGACTTCTCAGACTGAGATCAGATGCGTCGCTCTCTGCAGGAGCCCCGGGTGACCTCACGGTAGGGACAACTGGGGGCTGTCCTGGGAGCCCAAGGTGCCTTCTTCCCTCTAGCCTCCAGACAGTGTGGTGGAGCAGGGACACGGAGGCCCAGCAAAGCTGAGGAATGAGAAGCAACAGCCCACCTGGGCCCTCACGTGTGCCACCCACCCACAGAGACCGCACAGGCTGTCAGGGCATGTGCAGTGAGGGCCCCGCGCTGGCCCTGGGGAAGCTGCCACGACGCTCAACGTCACGGCTGTGGGGGCACAGAGCCAGACCCAGCCCTGACCCCAGGAGCCAGCAGCACACGGGAGCAGGGGGCAGGGGCTTCGGGAAGCGGGCAGAGGGGCATGTGCAGTGGGCACGAGTCCTCTCTGGGTGGCTGCCTGGAAGGGCTGAAACTGGCCAGCCCCAGTGACCAGAAGTGTCACCTGGCCTGTCACTTGGGCCCAGGGCTGTCCTGAGTGGCAGCCGGAGCCCCAGTCCACGCAGCCTCTGCTGACCCTCACTGGCAGCCGCACCCCATCCCCTCCCTGCTCCGACTCAGCACCTCTCTGAAGCCCTTCGGGGCCCTCAGCGGTCTAGAGCCAGGCCCACCTGCTCCCCCACAGCTGGTTTCTTCCCTGTCAGTCACGCGGGGCCTGTGCTCCGCACCTCGGGACTCCCCCACTGCCTTCCCGACTGTCCAGGGTCTCCGGCTTGGGTCCATCCTGCTGTTTACTGTGTGCTTTGCGGGGTAGCCTCCCCTTTTCACTGGAAAGATCGCGCACATCCCGCCTCCCTGCCATTCCCACAGGACCCCCAGCCACCTTTTGTCCCACGCTCTGGGCCTGTGGGGGCTGCTGTGGGGCACCTGGGGTCGGGGCATGGCAGGGAAGGCCTCCCTGGGCTTATGGCGGTGCAGGTTCCCTCTGGGCCACGTCACGGCGCCCTTGGGGACCGCTGCTGGCATCCCCGTTCTCTACGGGGACTTGGGGTCGGCACACCGGCTATGAGCTCTGCCCTCCCGTCTTAGGAGTCCGCACACCTCCCCTGGGCTCTGTCTTCTTCTTCCCTCCCTCTGCTCAACTCTGTCCCCGACTCCAGGCCCACGTAGCCAGCTGCTCACTCCCAGCCCTTCCTCCATTTCCAAAGTTATTTTTTCCAGAAGGCTCTGGGCCACCCTGGCCAGGACTGCCACAGTTGGGATTTAAAATTCTCTCCTTTGCAACAGCAGCATCCATGGTACCGTGGTTCCATGGGTGACCGTGTTCAGTACAAGAGTGCTGTGTTTCTCTCGGTTTTCACCACAGTCTACGTGCGATCACCCATCTGGGGGGCGCACGTGTCCATCCAGGTCACGCCCCAGGAAGGGCCAGCGACCTCGAGCTGCTGGTGGAGAGCTACGGTTCAGTACATGGTGGTCTCACTCTTTGAAGGGCCATGTCCTGCAGATCGTGGGGGCTCTGGGACCTCTCTCGCCACATGGATATCAGGAGATATCGAGCCTCACCTCGAACCCCCAGCTGGTCAGGGCCCTCCATGGGACAGGGGTGGGGAGAGCCTGTTGTCACTTCCAGAAGCAGGCGTCCCTGCATGTCCACGTCCTCTCATGCTTGGGGGCGGGGCATCCCCCAGCTAACACAGCTCTTGGTGGCTGTGGAAGCGTCTGCAATGGGCAGCTGTCACCTGCCTGGAGCCCCTGAGCTCTCCCTCCCACCCCCGTGCGGTGCTGAGCCCAGGGCCACTCTGCGTGGGGTTGAGTGAGTGACCGCAGCGGGCAGCAGGCGAGGGAAGGACTGTGTAGGTGGGTGGACTTCAGGTTGGGTCCCCAGCGTCTCCACCCTGAGAGCAGGCTGCTTGCTGTGTGTCACCCAGGACCCAGACTCAGCCGGACCCCTACTGCTCCCGGGGCTGGCCAGGAGCAGCTGCTCCCCTCCCCTGCTCTGTTCCCTGCTCCCCTCCCCTGCTCAGACCAGGGCTGGGGATGGACGCGGGCAGATGAGCCGCTCCCTCTCCGAGAGCTGGACTGGGGAGGCCAGCGGGCTCTGTGGCTGCGGCAGGGCAGGCAGGGCTGTCAGAGAAATGAGATCAAGAATGTTGGGGAGAGGGGGGGAGTCTGGAGCTCACGGGCCTGGAGCCCCTCGAAGCTGATGGGGCTGGGGGGTGCATCACGGGACAGATGACCAGGCTAGTGCCTCCCTGGGAATCAGGGCCGAGGGCATGGTGGCCAAAGGAGCCGTCCAGAACAGTGTGGAGACGTGTGTTGTTGGGGGTTCAGGGAGAATGGGAGGGGTGGGGCCCCTGGCAGATCAGAGGTCAGCGGAAGGCCATCCACACTGACACTGGCAGGGCACTCAGGACGAGGGCTGGTGCACCGAGGCAGGAAGGGGACAGATGCTGGCGTGCGAGGGTACACGTGTGGGAGACAGGGGTTGCAGAATGTGCTCCGCAGGGAGCCCTGAGGAGACGTCGCAGCCCTGGGGAGTGGGGTGGGCGCCCCAGGGGCACCCTTGAGCCCCCCACAGTTTGCCCCCCCGGGCACACTCGCTGCCCACCCCACCCCGTGGCCTCCGAGGAGGGGCGAGAGCCCCGACCAGCGAGTGGACCCTCTGAGCCGGCTGAGCTCACCCCTCGCCGTCCTGAGGCCTGCGCCCGTGCGTGCCTGACCTGACTTGGGGACCAAAGGCCTGCCCTTTGCACAGCCCCACCGCCTGCCCCGTTGCTGCAGGAGCAGGTCCCCCAGACTGCGAACGGCCCCCAGCAGATTCAGGGGCTCCACGGAAGGCAGCATAAAAGGGGAGCCGGGAAGATGACTCTCACAGGCTGTCTGTCGCCAGATCTTGGGGCCTAGTGGGGACGTCAGAGCTGGCTCTCAGGGCTGCACAGGCCTCGAGGTGCCCAAGAGGGTGGCTGAGGCCGTGTGCTCTCGCTGCCAGGTGGGGACCAGAGAGGGGTCTGCACTGTGGCTCCTGGCCACCACTCACACTGCCACAACGGGCCTTGTGTGTATCCCAGACTGGGCAGTCCCTGGGGAGGGCTCCCTGCGCCTGGGCCCCACTTGCCCTGGTCCCAAGGAGAGTGGGCCCGCTGGTCTTCTGCAGGGCCAGGAAGGTTCAGAGCTGCCCAGGTTTCTGAGTGGGCCTGCCTTGGCCTTGGTCCTGTTCCTGGGTCCAGGAGTGAGAGCCCCCTTTTCTGCCTCCAGTGGGGCAGCTGGCTGGGGCTTCTGTAAGGTTTGGGCAGGGTGGCGGGAGTGGCTTCGGTGTCCGTGGTGGGGCTGGAGCTGGGCCTGACCCAAGGCTCTGCCACAGAGGGAGGACCTGGAGGCAGGCAGAGCCCTGGAGGGGCCACCCTGAGCCCTCCCTCTGTGCCCAGCTCCCGCCTGACTTGGCCCGTCCCCTGGGGTACAAAGGTAAGGGGAGGCCTGCTCCAGGGAGCCATGGGGCAGACGGTGAAACAGATCTGGGAGTCGCCCCAGGCTGCCCTGAGTTTCAGGACGGTCCTCGCTCACTCTCTCAGGGCACAGAGCGTGGAACCTCCCAAGCCTGCCCTTCTAGGCTGAGCCGCCCAAGAGGGAAAGGGGCCAGGCCAGGTCGGACATTCACACCTGCTCTCGCTGGGACTCTGGACAAGCTCCTCCCTCCACGTGGTTTTCCAAACTGGGCTGGAGCTGCGGGAGCTGCACCCCCAGCCCGAAGGCCCCCGGGGCCGGTCCTCTTTGGGCCGCAGGGGGCAGGTGGCAGTGGGGCTGAAGCCTAAGGAGGGCGCGTGGGGTGTTCCTGCCCCCATCTCACACCCTGCCCACATGCCACCTGGGGAAGGTTGGACGGCAGTCTCTGGGACCATCACCCTGAACCTCAGCAGAGCTGCTGGGAGATGCTCCCTGCAGGTCAGCAGACCCCGGGCTCAGCGTCCTGGGGTGAGCTCCTGCCCCCTGGGAGTGGACTGGGGTCTGAGGTCTGGGCCCTGCCGCTGGCCTGGGTCATCTGATGCCCACTGGGCCACAGTGGCCTGTGCTGTTCCTAGGTGCCCATGTTTACCCCACACAGAGGTGGGGTGTGCTTCACAGTGCTTCTGGTCTCCGTGCATGTCCTCAGGCCAGCCGACATTGGCCCTGAGCCCTGGGAGACGAGGCGGTGGGAGGGGGGCTGTCCAGCCCAGCTGTGGCAGGTGCAAAGCCGCTGTGGGGGGAAAGCATCGGCAGAGAGGCAGGGGTCCTGCGTTCCAGACCTCCTGGATCCTGCCCTGAACTCCCTTCTCTTGGGACCCGAGGTCCCCCCATTTGCCAATGGAGACCACGTCCCCAGCACCCCTCGCACAAGATACGATTCTGGCTGGGGTGCCCATGTGAGGGGAGTCAGCGGACAGATGTCGAGGTGAGGGCAGAGCAGGGTAGGGGCGGGGGTCCACCTCTGAGCCCACCGCCTCCCCTACCATGTCTCCCCCACCGCATCAGCATCTGCCCTCTTCCTCTCCCCACCCCAGCCGCCCCCCCGGGGTCCCTTCCCACATCTCCTCTCTGCAGCAGCCCATCGTCTCACCTGCCACTACCATCTCCGTCCTGAGCCCCCGTGGCGCAGAGCTGCCTGTCCGCCCTTGCTCGTGGGGTGGCCCCCTGGGCTCCCAGGCCCCCACAGGCCTCTTTGTCCTTCCCGTCTGCTCCCCGCAGCCCACCCGTATCTACCATCGTTCCCTCAGAGGCTGCGGTCAGTTCCCACAGCCAGTGACCTGGGAGCACCAGGGCAGCTTGGCTCCCACTGGTGACGGGGAGCTGGGGGGACACGGTCACAGTAGGGTGTCAAGTGCACGCCTGGACTGCGGGGACCCCAGGAGTCTGTCAGAGACGCTCTCCACGCCATGTCGGGGGCGGTGGGAGCAGATGCACCAGACTGTCCACGCGTACTCCAGACCCGCAGTGCTCGGGCGTCTGGGGCCCTCCGCGGACCTGGCTTCCAGCAGGAGCACCTGGGCAGCTGGCAGAGCTCACAGGGTGGAGACGGGGAGCAGGGGCGCTGTGGACATTGGGGAGACGCATTCAGACCCTAACCCCACTGCTTCACGTACCGAAGCCTGACGTGAGGTCCGGGAGCGAAAGCCACTGGGCCTGGGGTCTCTGCTGTCGCCCCTTGCTGTCCCCAAGCGCCCTGCCACCCCCCTGCCCGGGCTGTTTGGGTGGAGGAACTGGGAGATATAAATTTCATCCAGATTCTCTGGGAGGACCAGTTGCTCCCGGCTGGCAGATGCGGGGAGGAGGCCGCCGTCACTCAGCCCTGCCTGGAATGCGCAAGACCTGCGGCCCAGGGCCCTCCTCTTCGAAGCAGGAGGACAGTGGGGTGTGGCAAGGACTGGGCCTTGGCCTGGAGGGGCCCAGTGGATAAGCCAGTGTCTCTGTGGGGACTTAGGACGGGAAGGTGGGGCTGGGCTGAGCAGAGGGCATGGGCATGGGCCAGCATGCCTCCCCACCCAGGGGCGTCCCCAAGGGTCCAGTGCGGCACACTGGGGGGGCCCACCATGTCCTCTGTTGGTGGGAACAGCAGGCTGGGCACCCCTCCTGGGGCTGGATCTCCTTGGGCTCCCCCCAACCCCCTCAGCCAGCCCCAGGCCCCTATCAGCAAGAGTTCCACAAAGAAAGGACCCTGTCACCCAGGTGTCCCCCAGGACAGAGCTAGACTCAGAGCCGTGTTTTCCTTTTTATTCTTAGATGGCAGACCCAGGTGGAGTGGCCCCTGCTCAGGGGGCTGGGGGTGCCGGCCCTGTGGCCAATGGCTACACCTGTCCCTCACCCCGTGCCAGACAACGGTGTTGTCTAGCCCAACCTTTGCCTCCAGGGAGCTTGGGCTGTGGGGGCCTGGGTTTGTGCTTCCCGGAGAGGCTGGTCCCTAATTCCTGCATCAGAGGAGGGCCTTCCGGAGGGGCTCATAGAGGGGACCTGTGCCAAGCCGGCCTCCTCGGGGCATCAGCATGGGCCCATGGGATGGTCCTGGGCCAGGGGGCAGGGGGCAGGGAGGGTGGGACCAGCCCGGGTCCCCTCCAAGCCAGTCCCCTGGCCGGGCCTCTGCGCCCCATCCGTGGCGTGGGCCGGTGACCTGGTGCACCCAGACGTCCATCAGAGCCAACCATGGCTCCAGAGCCCCAAGTCCAAGTGTGGACAGTGTCCCGCACGCCCTGGGGGACAGAACCACTGCCCTAAGCCACCTGTGTTCAGAGCTGGTCCAGAGCAAGGCTGGACAGGCCCTCCCGGGCAGGCCAAGCCCTGAGGCTCCCGCATACTCATCGGGGTTCTGTTCCCAGGGGGGCAACAACGCCGGACACACCGTGGTGGTGGACGGCAGGGAGTATGACTTCCACCTGCTGCCCAGCGGCATCATCAACACCAAGGCCGTGTCCTTCATCGGTGAGTGCCGGCAGCCCGGGGTCCCGCGAGCGTCGGCCGCACAGGCTGGGGCATCATCCGGCCCAGGGTGCCCCTGCATGTGGGGCTGGACACAGCAGGAGAGCTGGGCTGGCGCACGGGTGGGGATCCTGTCCTGGGGGCCGCCCAGCCTGGGCCCGAGGGACCGAGGGCGGAAGGCCCCACAGAGCTGCGTGTGCGAGCTGTGTGCACGTGTGGGAGTAATTGTGTGTGGGTGTGAGTCCGTGAGCAAGTGTGTTGTGTGGATAGGTGTGGGCAGGTGTGCAGGCAGGTGTGTGTGTGCGCGCGCACGCAAGCGTGAGCAGAGGCTGGACTCCTGCCGCACGGGCGGACGCCCAGCCTGCTGGCTCCCCTCGCCTCCCCCTCCCCACAGCACCCCTGCCCTGGCTGGGGCCTTCCCTGCCCTTCAGGGTCCCTCCAGCCTCTAGGACTGTGGGGTCTCCTGCTCTCTCTGTCTCTGCCCCTCTCTCCCCCTCCCTCCCTCCCCCCTCGGCTCTAGACGGAGCCTCCCTGGCCTAGAGCAGCCCACGCCAATCTAGATGCCCTCCTGCGGCGTCCAGGACACTTCCTCTGGCTCCTTCCGGGGCTGACCAAGACCACCACGTGCCTTCTCTGTGCCCACCCCCTGTCCCGGGTTGGGAAGCCCAGTGAGGGCGCAGGGCCGCCGAAGGGAGGGGAGTGTTGGCTGAGGGGCCGCATGCGGTCAGGCTGCTCAGGGGGACAGACGCGGGCCGCCATGTGGGCGAGGACGGCATGGCGACACTGGGGATTCACCCAGAGTGGGGCTTGGGGGGAGGCTCTCCTGCAGCCTTCTCCTGGCCCAGCCTCGTCCACTGGGCCCTGTGCCCCAGTTGGTGGGAAGCGAGGCCAGGGAGGCCCTACTTGGAGCTGGGGTGAGTCAGGGTCAGCAGCCGGAGCCCAGGCTGTGTGGTGGCGGGAGCATCGCGGGGGTGCCCGGCAGTGTGCTCAGCAGGGAGCGAAGATGTCCGAGCTCAGCTGCCCCTCGGCTTGCGACACTCCCTGGGCCCCTGCCACGTGGCCACTTCAGGACGCCCTGCCATTTAGGTGACCTTTTGTACTTGGCGTGGCTTGCACAGTCTGAGCCACTGCCATCTGGACCCACATCCTGTCTCCCTTGGCGGAGCCTACGCCGCGCCACCGGCAGCTCTCATGGGGACCGGGGAGGCGGGGCAGGGGAGGGCTCCTCCTGGGAAGACAGCAGGTGGCCAGGCTGGCTGCCTTCGGTCTAAGAGAAAAGGGACAGCATTTCGCTTCGGCCTGGACCCCACGCCAACATGCTGTGTGACCTGGGGCCAGTCGCCTTCCCTCTCTGGGCCTCAGTCCGCGCCTGTGAACAATGTCCACGGATGGCATTTCAGCGTCCCAAGGAGGGAAGGCTCGGCTCCCCAGAGCCCTGCTCGGGCCGGGGAGGGTCTTTCACACCATTTTCACACCACTCGAGTGAACCGTCCCAGCTTCCTGAGGCTTCCGTGCTGCTGGAGTTCAGCTCGGTTCCACTCCGGGGCTCGGGCCGCACTCCTGGCAGTGCTCTCCGCCGTTCGCTGGGACGCCCCCGCTCTCGGGCTCTGCACCTGCGCATGTTGCTTTGGTTTGGGCCGCTGCTTCTCCTGCTGTGACACGCACCTTATAACCCACCAGCTTAGCCGCTTCGACACGCAGAGCTCGGTGCCGTGAAGCTCACTCACTCTGCCCGTCTCCAGAACTTTCCGTCTCCCCAGCCTGAAACTGGCCCCATTCAACACTAACCCTGTCCCCTTCCCCAGCCCCTGGCATCACCCTTCCTGTCCCTGTGAGTCGGACTCCTCTAGGGACCCCCATGAGTGGAATCACACAGGGTCTCTGTCCTTTGGACCTGCCTGTGTCACTCGGCACAGTGTCCTCAAGGTCCATCCGTGTTGTAGCAGGCGGCAGAATCCCCTTCAATGTAGGCTGCCACGGCTGCCGTGCGACTCAGTCCCCTGTGGTGCGTTGCAGGCAACGGGGTGGTCGTCCACTTACCCGGCTTGTTCGAAGAAGCAGAAAAAAATGAGAAGAAAGGTAAGTCTGAGTCCGCGCACATGCACCCTGGCCTGGGCCAGTCCCCAGCAGTGCGGTGGCCAGCGCCTCCCGCGTGGGTTCTTGGGGGGTGGGGGATCTCTTTCCCCAGCTCAGCAGGCCCCCACCCGCCTCCCGCTGGCTCGGCCTGTGCAAAAAGCTGGGTCTGCACTCGGGACGCAAGGCCCAAAGTATGGCTGTGGGCCTCAGTGTTTATGGGGAGTTTTCATGACTCTGGGGGCGGGGGCATCTGGAGGATCCCGCTCAGGAAGTCTGGAAGGGGCCTTGGGACCTAGAATTTGATGAAGCTTCCCAGGACACCCGGTGTCCGGCCAGGCTGGGGGACCACTGGGCCAACCACGACTACAGGGAAAGATGTGGTTCCTGGGGGTTCCTGGGGCCAGGAGGCAGGCAGTGACCAAGGCCACCGGCCAGGGTGTCTGGGCAAGCTGCCCCCTGGGAAGACCGTCCAGAGGGGGCAGCCCAGAGACCCTGATGGGGTCCGAGGAGGAAGCAGGGCTGGGCCTCTGGGCTTGAGTTCCAGACAGGAGAGGGAAAACGGGAACCCGACCCTGGGCCTCAGCGCCAGGAAGTGCCAGGACAGAGGTCCCGCAGGGGGCTGGGGGTGAGACTCCCTGCCCTCAGAGGGTAGAGGGGCCATGAGGGGAGGGCACACCCACAGGATCTTTGTGGACTGTTGCCCTGGGTGGGAGCTGGGCCGGCTGCCCACTTGGCCGCGCTGCCCTGGACGGCCGACCGCCTGCCGTGTGACCGCAGGGCTGAAGGACTGGGACAAGAGGCTCGTCATCTCCGACCGCGCGCACCTCGGTGAGCACCGGCACCGCCGCCTGCCCCGGGAACAGCCGCCCTGCGGTGGCCCTGCCCCCGCACACTGAGCCCACGTAGCCCCATAGGGCCTTCTCCGAGAACTGCCAAGTAGGCAGGGGGTTGGAATCACGGTCCCCATTGGCAGATGGGAAAACTGAGGCCCAAAGGAATTCCCGGTCACATGTGAGCATGCGTTGGGCAGAGGCAGATTCTAGTGTGTCCCCTTTCTTTTTTTTTTTTTTTTTTAAGATTTTATTTATTTATTTGACAGAGTGATCACAAGTAGGCAGAGAGGCAGGCAGAGAGAGAGGGGGAAGCAGGCTCCCCGCTGAGCAGAGAGCCAGATGCGGGCTCGATTCCAGGAGCCTGAGATCATGACCTGAGTCAAAGGCAGAGGCTTTAACCCACTGAGCCACCCAGGCGTCCCTAGTGTGTCCCCTTTCAAACTGGACCACCTGTCCCAGACAGCCTGGGCACAGGCAGGGGAGCTCCATAACCCGGTGTCTGTCTCTCACCTGGGCACTCTCACCGGGCCGGGCAGTGTTTGACTTTCACCAGGCCGTCGACGGGCTGCAGGAAGTGCAACGGCAGGCCCAGGAGGGCAAGAAGTGAGTATCTCCAGGGGCTCCTCTTGTCTCGGTGGCTGTCTCTGGGAGCTCTGCAGTGTGCCAGCTGGGGGGACAGGATCCCCTTGAAGCCACCACGACCATAGACACCCAGCACAGCCTGACCCCATACACAGGCCCCCAACACCCTGGCCCCAGAAGCACACACAGCTGTGACTTTGTCCTCTGAAGATATTTATGAGAATGTGCAGGGTGCTGGTTCTCCAGCCAGGACAGGGTGAAGCCAGAGGCGTCCTGCCCCACCAAGTGACACGCTCACTGGCCACCTGTGTGCACACATGCCCACGTGTGTGCACACTCAGACCACACACACACACTCATAGCCACATGTACCAGGTGGAAGCTGAGTGGGCTGTTCACTGAGCCCAGGGCGAGGGCGGTGGCCACCAGTGGGCACAAGGTGGACACGGTCAGTGCGCCCAGCCCCTGGGGAAGCAGCGGCTGGCAGACCCGGATGGCAGCATCCTCTGTGCCCGGCCAGGGGGAAGCTGGGGCCCAGAGCAGGCAGGACATCAGAGAGCCAAGGCATGGAAGGTGGGGAGGGCTACTCCTGGCCCAGGACCCCTGTGGGGGCCCCAGTCCCCAGATTCCTGAGGGACAGTGGAGGGGGCAGTGGGCTTTCACAGCTGTCCCAGACTGCAGGTGCTGCCCTGGGGACCGTCCCTCCCAGCTCAACCCTTGTTTATAACAGGGTTGCTGCCTGGCACCCTGAGCGCCCGGATCCTCCAGGCCCCAGCAGGCCGTGGGACCGCCCCGCAGGCTCACGGCCACCTGTCTTTCAGTATCGGCACCACCAGGAAGGGCATCGGACCCGCCTACTCTTCCAAGGCCGCCCGCATGGGCCTCCGTGTCTGTGACCTCCTGTCGGACTTCGATGAATTTTCCGCCAGGTACCGGCGCCGCATGCAGCCTGAGGGGGGACTGCGGCTGGAGCTGCGGGCGCGGACACCGGGCGGGGCGCGGGGTCGCAGTCACTGTTGCCCCCGCAGATTCAAGAACCTGGCCCGCCAGCACCAGTCCATGTTCCCCAGCCTGGAAGTGGACGTCGAAGGGCAACTCAAAAGGCTCAAGGTAGAGCCGAGGCGGGCGGACCCGTGGTGCGGGGGTGCGGGGGGCGGGGGGAGCTCGGCTGGAGCCTGGAGGGGGAGGGAGCGCTGGGGTCTGGGGGGCGTGGCGTGGCGCAGGAACAGGACAGCGGCGGGGGCGGGGCCGGGGAGCGGCGGGCCCGCCCCACAGAGGCGCAGCTCCGCTGTCAGACGCCCGCGGAATGGGCAGGGACATATTGTCGCAGGTACTGCTGTGGGGTGGCTGGCCCTCTCGGGGACCACAGGCCTCCTGTGCAAACCCAGGCCACTGAGAGCAGAAGGGTCCCCCCCCGCCGGAGGCCAGGGGACCAGGGGACATTTCCCAGGACATGCTGGGGAAAGATGCTGTCCCTGTCCTATTTGGGGTAGCGGATAGAGGTGGCCTTGCTGACACAGAGCGGCAGCACAGGGTGAGGAGAACACAAAGCCCTTCCTCAGTTTAACCCCTCTTTGAAGGCATGTCTGCACAAACCGTCACCTTCTGAGCTGCTGGGGGTCAGGACTTCGACAGATGAACCGTGGACAGAGTTGGGGGTGGGGGACAATTCAGCCCGTGGCTGCAGGAGGAGGCCACTGCGAGCCTCGCAGACAAGACCCAGATGGGCTGGGGGCTGGGGGCCGTTCCACATCTCGGGACAGGCTTGCAGGGCAGGCCCCTTCTGGGAAAGGAATGCCCTAGAACTTCAGGCTGTCCGGAGGGGCCTGGCCCCCTGCCCCCAGCCTCCTCTGCCTGCCCCACAGGCCTTTGCTGAACGGATCCGACCCATGGTGCGAGACGGCGTCTACTTTATGTACGAGGCGCTCCATGGCACCCCCAAAAAAATCCTCGTGGAAGGTGCCAATGCAGCCCTCCTTGATATTGACTTCGGTAGGTCCCCAGCCTGGCTGATCTCAATGAAACCCCCTTCCTGCCTGCTGGGGACCAGGCTGGCCACTGCCCTCTGCCAAGCCAGAGCCCGCGGCAAGCATGGTCTGCAGGGGTGGCAGGCAGCCCCTGACCAGCTCTGTCTTGCAGGGACCTACCCCTTTGTGACGTCCTCCAACTGCACCGTGGGCGGCGTGTGCACAGGCCTGGGCATCCCCCCACAGAACATAGGCGAGGTCTATGGCGTGGTGAAGGCCTACACCACACGCGTGGGCATTGGGGCCTTCCCCACCGAGCAGATCAATGTGAGTCTCCATCCCAGCAGGACCACAGCAGGGGGACACAGAGCCATGCGGGTGCCCAGGGGTGGGGTGTGCAGAGACACACGGCAAGCGCAGAGGCAGGCGGCCACAGGTGCGCGAGAGGTGGCGCGTTCCAACAGCCCTGCACCACGCAAGCTCCCGGGGACCCACTTTCCCCAGGAAGCACCGCAGGCAAGCCGCGTGCCTCACGACCCCTCAGAGCACCCCAGGTGGTGGGGCTCAGGGGCCCTCTCGGGAGTCCCCTAGGCATCGAGGGCCCAAGGCTCTGGTCCTGAGCAGGGGCATGTAAGGCCAGTGTGGGAAGGAGGGGGGAGGAAGGGGAGACAGCGGAGAGAAGCGCTGAGCTCAGAAGCGAGGCGCAGACTCCCCCCTTCACGCGGCCGTGGACCTGCTCTGCTGTCACGCAGGAAATCGGAGACCTGCTACAGAGCCGTGGCCACGAGTGGGGGGTGACCACGGGCAGGAAGAGGCGCTGCGGCTGGCTAGACCTGATGATTCTCAGATACGCGCACATGGTCAACGGCTTCACCGCGTAAGCAGCCCTTCCCACACGAGCGATGTCAGGGTGCTGGCCAGACTCCCCCCCACCCCACGGCAGGGCCACAACGGTGGGCGACACGCGAGCAGGCCATCAGCTCCTGAGCTTGAGCAGGGAAGGGGGCAGCCCAAGGGCATCCTGGCACCCGGAGGTTAAGGTTGATGGTCTAGAGAGGGAGTGTGAGCCTGGCACCAAGGGCCTCCACCGTGGCCCTCGGGGACAGGACACCTTCTCCGCGGGGCCCGGCCAGGCCTGACGGTCAAGAACTCCGTTAGGTCTGCTGGGGTGTGGGGCTGGGCAGTGGGAGGGCAACACTGTCCCCACACTGGGGCCAAGTGGCAAAGAGGCTGCACTCTCAGCACTGAGGTGCCTGCCGTGGCTGCCGCATAGCAGAGGACCGGGGTGGCCACCGCGGGCACAAGAAGCGCAGAGAGACCCGCCCACGAGGGCCCGTGAGGGAGAAAGGAGAGGGAAGGCGGAAGCTGGGGGCCTGAGCCAGAAAGAACGATGGCTCCACACAGTCCCTGGGGCTGCTGGCCACGGAGGAGTGCTGAGACCCCACACGCGGCCCTGTCAGAGGTCCGCCAGGGCCACGGGAATGGGGTCCCACGGGGGCGCCCAAGGGGAGGAGACCTCAGCCAGACAGAAGCCATGCCCCCAAGCCCGGCCTCGTGTTTCTGGGCTCACCGCGTCTACACTTGCTGGCGACGGTCAGTAGAGGGGACAGGCAGGTGTGCAGGCTTCTGCGGTGCAGCTCCATCTGCTGGCTTGGGGACAGGCTGGCCTTGACAAAACTAGACATTCTGGATGCCCTGGACGAGGTGAAGGTCGGCGTCTCATACAAGCTGAACGGAAAAAGGATCCCCTATTTCCCAGGTACGGGGAGGTGGTGGCTTTTCTGTCTGTTGCATGGGAAGAGGAGAAGGGGTGAGTCTGCAGACTGGGGGGGCCAGTGGGAGCCAGCCCCGCTCACTCCAGACCCCGGGGATACTTAGGCACTGCCGAGGCCCAGCTCCTGGGCGCCCTGGAAGCTCCCTGGGCGGGCATGGACTGCTTTGTGCTAACGTAAAGATGACTGTCTTACCAAAGAACACACGGTTTTCAGTTATTTAAGACCTAATGGTTTTCTGTTACCGTGCGCCCCTTCTTTTAGAAAGCACAAAGGCGAATGTTTTCTTGGACAGTTCCCATTCTGACTGCACTCCCCCTAGCAGCCCTCTCTCCTCTGAGCACATGTGTAGACCCCCCAGTCCTCTTGGCCTGCGTCCCCTGACCCTTCTGACCCCTGACCTTGGAGAAGGCACAGCAAGGGTCTGGTGGAGCCCAGAGATCCAGGGCCGTGGGCAGCGTGCAGGGAAGACCCTGCGATAGACATGTTCCGGCACCTTCCATCAGTGAGGGATGGCTGGCATCTACTGTGTCGTGTGCTGGGAGCCACAGACTGCCAGCTGGAGCAGGGTCCTTGCCCTGGGAACAGGACAGAGATCTTTCAGGACCCCTTCATGCTTCAGGACCCTTTAGTTTCCAAGTTGCGGGGAGGGGGGCGCCTGGCGGGGCTCAGTCTGTTAAGCATCTCTTGATTTTGGCTCGGGGCATGATCTTGGGATTGTGAGATCAGGCCCCGAGTCAGGCTCTGTGCTCAGGGCAGAGCCTGCTGGAGATTCTCTTCCTCTGCCCCAGCCCCTTGCACGCTCTCTTTCTCTAAATAAATGGGTAAATAAAATCTTAAAAAGAAAAGAATTTCCAAGTGGGGTCCATGGAATTCCTCAGCTGAGTCACCTGTGGGTGTTCTGGCAGACCCCTTGTCAAGTGCATGTGCAGGGTGGTCTGGAAGGGGTGCAGCCCATGTCAGAGGACCACCCCCCCCCCCCCCCCAGGCACAGCAAACAGGGCCACATGCCTTCCCCCGGCTAACCACTGTGGCAAGCAGGCCCCCCAGTGGACGACCGGAGCACCAGCACCTTGGGAAGTGGGTCACCTCCCCGCCCTCTGTCTCCCCAGCGAACCAGGAGATACTGCAGAAGGTTGAAGTTGAGTACGAGACGCTGCCCGGGTGGAAGGCGGACACCACGGGAGCCAGGAAGTGGGAGGACCTGCCCCCGCAGGCCCAGAACTACGTGCGGTTTGTGGAGAATCACGTTGGAGTGGCAGGTGGGTGCCCGTGTCCCGGCCACCGCCCTGCCCTCTGCCCCCCACCTCCGGGGCTGAGCGACCCTGTTCCCTTCCAGTGAAATGGGTTGGTGTTGGCAAATCAAGGGACTCGATGATCCAGCTGTTTTAGACAGAGACAGCGCTGGCCCAGCAGTCCCCAGCGGTCCTGTCCCACCTTGACAGCCAGAGTCAGCGCCCGGAAGGAAGAAGTAGGAAAACTATTTTCTGTACTTTTATATTTCTCGCTAAGCCTTCAGCTCAGCCACAGGTTTCTACAGTGATCTGAACATCCGACAGCCAGCGTCATGTCCATTTTTTCTTTTTAAATCCTGCTACTGAAAATGAGCAGAAACACTCCAAACAGAGAACTTTGACGGCACATTAATAGTCACATGGTTGTATGGCCGGCTGGAGCCACTGAGTAATAAAGACACCCAGTAGCCACTGAATGGTGGTGTCAGTCTGTGTCTGCTTCTGACTGTCCTTTCGTTTTGACTTTACTGGGGACAGTGGTCTGGGTGACGCATGTTTCTGGGATCACAAAGCCAAGCCGTTTGGTTGCTCAGACGGGAATGGGCCCAGGTAGGCGAGACCATGGGCATTCAGTGCGTCCCAAAAGGGAACCATTACAGAAATGCCCCCCTTGAACTCTAAGCCCCGTGCAAGGGCCGGGGGCAGCCCCCAGCAGCACCTCTCCACCTCGGCTGCGCACACCTGCCCTCATCCCTCTGGAGGCCACTGGACTGAATAATCGACTTAAGTGGCCACAGCTGCACGAGCTTACTGTGTTCTCCACTAGAAGCTGAGGGACCTCCTTGAACAACTCTTCCAGGTCTGGGTAAATTTAGAAAAATGACCGCCCCTTCGCTATCATTTGGGAGAGAGAAGGAACTAGATGGGGGGAACCCATCTAATTCAGGGTTAAATCCCAGCCTCGTAACCCTGACACTGTCATCCGGGCTCCAGGAAATGGGTGGAGGGCCCACGGGGCTTTCTTCCCAGGCAGCACACCGGTCCAGGGGCTCCAGTCCGGCGGGAGATGCTGACCACGTGACAGGACTTTTACAGCGCAGGCTCCATCCGGGAAGCCCTGGGACTTTGCGCACCAGCGAACCGCTCCAAGCAGTGCCCGCAACAGTCGTGAGTGACTTCCGAGGAGCTACAACCAGTTTCTCTGGGCTGCCAGTCAGCAAGGAGCAATGCTACTTGGAGGCGGGGGCGAGAGGCACCAGCAGAAACTGTTGAGTTTTCCGAGAATCACTTCTTTCCACGGTATGTCGAGAGGGACGGGAGGACAGCCCCGAGGCAGGCGTCGGATCTTCAGGAAAGAGAGGTCGTCCCCTCCGCTGCATGGGACCCCACACGGTCCTCTGCAGAGACGCTGCGCGGCCGCGTCCTGCCACAGCACAGGTGCACGCCTCTGACCGAGAACCAGAGTAGGCATTTTTCAGAAGAAAATTGTTCATTCCGTGTAAAAACTCCCAGCGTGGCTTTGCAAGGTTACCCTGCAATTTAAATTAGCTGCAGAAAGGCTTCCAAACCTCTACCTTGCAGGGCTGCTGACCGCGCTGGAAGACGAATTGTTGATTCTCTTCTACCTCTAGACAGAATCTTGAGGCCACGGCCTCGGGCAGCGTCCCCGCAGGTCTGCAGCTGTACAGGCCGCCTTCCGGGGACAAGGATTCTTCCCTGGCACCGACCTCCTCTCTCTCGCGGCCCGGTCGGGTGAGTGCGCGTGGCCCCTTCTCCGGCACCAGGTGTGCCCAGGGCTGGAGAGATGATAAGGCGCTGTCCCGGCGGCACCGAGGGGCTCGAGCAGTCTCCCTCGGCGCCCGAGGCAAGGACAAGCGGGTGGTGGACGCGGGCGGCTCCGCTCCTCCAAGCACTCTGGACTCTGAACGCGGCCGCCCCGAACGGCCTTCAGCGGCCACCAGCCACGCCGCCGCTCGCGCCGGCCACAACACACGGACGTGTCCACAAACCGGCAGTCGGACGGCGGCCTTCGTCACAGCCCAACCCGGAGCCCGCCCAGGCGCCCACGGGCCGGGGACAGCCGGTCCACGCGCACCCCGGACCGCTCGCCCCGAAGGAGCCGCCGCGCGGGTCTGGACGTGGCTCAGGAAGCGGCCGCGCGCTGCGGGGCCCGAGAGCAGAGCCGCGTCTCTCGCGGCGCCCGCACACGCGTTCGCAGGGCGGGGTGGAGCGGGCACCGTCCCCGGGGCTTCAGCGAGTGTCCGCCGGCACCGAGGAAGCTGCGCCCCCGCTTCCGCGGCCCGGGCTCGTCCCGCCGCACGGCCAGCTCCGCACAACCCTGCGGCCCCGAGGCGACCTCCCCGCCCGCCGGGAGGGACGCGCCGGCGCCGCACCGGCAGACGGGAACCGAGTCCGCCCCCGTCTGAGGAGCGTCAGCCCTGAGGCCGCGCCGTCCGGGCTCCCCGTGAGCACCGACCCCGGCCCGTTCCCCCGCGCGTCCCTCCCCGCTGTGCCACCCGTCCCAGGCCCCGCCGGCTGCGCGCGACCCCGGCCCCAGAGCGCGGCAGGGCCTGGCCGTCCTTCCAGGCTGGGCCGGGGCCCCCGCGGCCCCCGCGGTCCGAGCTGCACGGAAGATCCTCGGGCTGCTGACGCGCGTCTTCCCGGCACGGACCTGCGGGGCCGCCTCCCGCCTCCGTCCCGCAGGTTCAGGCCGCGGCCGCGCCTGGCTCCCTCCCGAGGCTGCGCAACAGCCGCACCGGCCCCGCGCGCGGCAGCTCCACTCTAGGGGCTGCGGGACGGAGGTCGCCGGGGGCGCTCGCGAGGGGGCCGGGGCGGCAGCAGACGGACACGAGGCCGGCCGGGTCCCCGACGCCCCCTCCGCCCCGCCCGGCGCGCGCGGACACACAGCCGCCGGAGCACGTGCCGAGCCCCGCACGACCGCAGCCCACACCCCTGCCGGGCCCCGCACGGCGGCCCCGCGCGGTCGCCCCACACCGGCCCCGGGCCGCGCCGCCCTCCCGCCGGCCGGAAGGGACGTGACGCCCCGGAACCGCGGTAGTGACGCGCGGCCACTTCCGGGAGGCCCTTCCACTGAAAACAAGGAAACGCGAATCGTCCGCCAACGCCGGCGACAAACAAGGGACTGTAGCCGTGCCAACAGGGCTGTAGGGGCCGCGGCCCTGCAAAGGCTGAGCCGCCGCCTCCCCCGCCCCCCACGGGACCACAGCCCTTCCCCACACGCCGCGTTCCGACTCCAGGTCCGGGTCGCGCTCGGCCTATCCCGCGGCGCACCTCCCACAAGGCCCGCCCCCGGCGCACCGGTTCCGCCTCCAAGCTACGCTCGGCCTATCCGGCGCCGGGCCCCCTTCGAGCCCCGCCCCACACCCTTGCCTTCGGCCCATCCCTCGCCGCGCTGCAACCGGGGCCCCGCCCACTCTCGACTTTTCCCGCGCAGCCCATCCCGCTCCCGCCCTCGCCCCCAGCCTATCCCGCGTGGCCCCGCCTTCAACCCCGCCCCTGCCCCGTCTCCGGCCTATCCCGCGCCGCGCTCGAGCCCCGCCTCCGGGATCCCCAGCCTATGCCGCGCAGCACCGCTTTCGAGCCCCGCCTCGGCCCTAGCCCCCGGCCTATCCCGCGCAGCACCGCTTTCGAGCCCCGCCTCCGCGCTAGCCCCCGGCCTATCCCGCGCCGCGCCGCTTTGGCGCGCGGCTGTGACGTCACGTGTCGCGACGAGGCGCGCGCGGCTGAACGGCGCCGCTGCCGGCCCGCGGCCATGCCCAAGCGGGGCTGTCCGTTCGCGGACGCGGCCCCGCTGCAGCTGAAGGTCCGGGTTGGCCAGAGGGAGCTGAGCCGCGGCGTGTGCGCCGAGCAGCACTCGCGGGAGATTTTCGGTGAGCGCGCGGCGGCCGAGCGGCCGCGGGAGCCGCGTGGGCGCGCCCCGCGGGGACGCGACGTCGGCCCCGGGCTGCCCCTGGTCCGCGGGAGGCCGGGGAGGGCCACGTCCCGAGCGGAGCGGGCGGGCGCAAGCGTCGGGCCGGAGCCTCGGGCCGCGCGGTGCCCCGCCTTCCGGAGCGCCCCGGTCCGGGGGGTGGGGGGACCCGCAGGGCGCGGGGTCCCCAGCGGGCACGGGTCTCGGGGGGCCGCAGAGGCCGAGCGGGAGCCGGTAGGCGGGGACGGAGGGACAGGAGCTGCGGGCGGAGGCCGGGAGGCAGGCCCGGCCCGCGGGACTCGGCGTTAGCGCACGGCGCGGCCGCCCCTGAGCTGCGAGGGCCGCGAGCCGCTGCGGGGGTCCCGCGGGCTGCGTCGTGCGCTCGGGCGGGCGCGTTCCCGGCACCGCTGGGGCTGGACGGCTGCGGCCGCGGCGGGGCGCGGCCGGGGGCGCCGTGTCGGTGCCCGCAGGAAGCGCTGCCGCTGCCCTGCAGCAGACGTGGGCGAGAGCCCCTCGGACAGCCGGCCCTCGGTCCCCAACGCGGCTGCTCCGCCTTCCCGTCCTTGCGCACCTGAGGCTCTTCGAGGGCAGCGAGTGCGGCGCGGGGGTGGACCTGGCGGAGCGCGCCGCGGGCACCGGCTGTCGCTGTGCGCCGCAGAGAAGCTCGAGACAAGTGGGACCGAGTCCTGCTCTTCCCCTGCGCTCGAGCCCGCTGGGTTCCGGCCGCGGCTGCCGCCCGAGCTGCAGGCCTCGCTCGGGCCACACGCTGTAAAGACCAGCATCACCCGCAGCACAGGCCCCGCACTCCGCCCCGCGATCAGGCGCGCTCGGGAGGGGCTGGAGGAGGCGAGCTGTCGTCGGCCCCCGCTTCCGGTACCCGGGGCCTGTCGTTCCTGTCGCCATCACACAGGGTCGGCAGCTTCTAGGGTCCCCGCCCTGGCTCCGTGCAGACAAGGCAGGAAACCGCAGAGCGTTTGGGGGCTGGCATTGGGCACTGGGTCTTGTGAAAGCCCCCGGATGGCCGCCCGGGGCCTGGTGGAGAGCCGCTGCCCAGGTGCTGAGCAGCCGTTCAGCTCTGGGGCGGGGGTGTCCAGGGCCCACCGGGGTCTGGAACGTTCTGGGTTGCCTCTGTGAAGAGCCAGTTGCCGCCCGCCCTGTCCTTTGCCAGCAGCTCAGCAGGAGGTGGGGGGTGCCACCGGCCGGGTCTGTGGGCCCAGACCAGAGCCGCTGGCTGTGAAGTAGTGATGTGAAGCGCCGGCTTACAGGGAGCTGGGCGGGAAACAGCAGAGAGGTGAGGCCCCTTGTCCCGGGAGCCACGCGAGCACAGGAGAGGGAGCCTGGGTAGGACCGCATGGCCCAGAACCCTCCTGCAGGAGGGGACCGTGCAGCCTGGGTGAGGAGGGCGAGAGGACAGAGTGGTCCCCAGCTCACCGGGGAGCAGCGTGGGCTGAGGGCGACCGGGCGACAGCACAGAGGAGTCCTGGCCTCCGCCGGCCTGAAGGACGAGGTGGCCGTGCAGAGCTTCCACCGCACCGGGCCGTGAGCACCGGCACTGGTTTGTCTTCCCCAGAGAAAACCAAGCAACTCCTGTTCCGCGGGGCTCAGGCCCACATGGACCACGTGTGGGAGGAGAGCTGTGCCATCGTTGACCTGCCGGAGTCCCCGAAGCCCGGCCCCACGGAGGCCCTCCGGGCCGCACGGGGGCAGATGCTGATTGGACCAGACGGCCGGCTGACCAGGAGCCAAGCCCAGGCCGCTGAAGCCGGTGAGTGAGGCCGACGGGCGCTTTCCCTGTGCGCTGAGGGGGGCTGTGACGAGTGTGTTGTCCTTCGTCCTGACACCGTGGGCCTGGGGGCTTCTCCTCCCCCAGACAGGCAAGGGCTGGCCCCAGGGTCTGACGAGCTGCTGAGCGCCAGAGGCTCCTGACGTTAGGAGGCTGTACCCCCCCAGCCACCGTCCGAGCCTGGGGGTTGTGCAGTAGCTTCTGGCTGGGGGATCAGGAAAGGAGTAGAAACTCCCTTGGTGTCCTGCCTGCTTTCCACTTGCAGCGAGACATGGCGTCCCAGCCGGGTGGGAACCCTGGACAGGCCGCAGCGTCGTGTGCGGCTCAGACCCCCGCCCTTGTTGCTGGAGTCAGTTACCGCCCGCCCCTACCCCGCTCCCCACCCCACAGGGCCTGGAGTGGGGCCCAGGAAGGCAGGGGCCACACTTGGAGACAAAGGTTTTGGACGCATGAGGCGAAAGCCATGGGAGTTCTCATACAAGCCAGCGAGGGAGGAGTTGATCCTCCCGGTGCCAAGCCCCTAGGTAGCGGGAATGGAAGGAGCGCTCAACCCAGAGCCACGGAGACCGCGCTCTAAGGGCTCCTGGGCGCCTGGGGGCTCCCTGGTGAGCAAGGGTCTGTGTGCGGCGCTTTCTGGAAGGTCGTCATGAGGACCTGGTGGGAGAGGTGTGTAGGGAGTCGGGTCAGCCCTCCGTCCGCAGCAGGGGAGGCGTCCCCACGGCCTCCAGCACTTGAGATCCCCTGTGGGGCTGACAGGCGGTGTTTCCTCCTCACAGACCTGTCCGGGGCCGCGACCAGAGCCTGCTCCTCCTGTGTGCGCGCGCTGGACGGGACGGCAGTGTGCGGCCAGTGTGAGCGCGCCCTCTGCGGACGCTGTGTGCGTGCCTGCTGCCGCTGCGGGGCCGTGGCCTGCAGCCTGTGCGCCCTTGTGGAGTAAGTGCCCGACCACGGGGCGCCCCGGTCATGGTGGGGGCCTGGGGGTAGGAGAGCGGCCTGACCGGCATTGCCCCTGGGGGTGCGCTGGGGCACGCTGGGGCCGAGAACCTCCTGGCCTGCAGCTTCTTCTCCGAGGACGCGCTTTCCTCGGGGAGACGCAGGTCGCGCAGACGGCCAGTTCCACCCTTGCTGGGGTCCCGCCGTGCTTCATGGGCCGACTTTTCAGGTTTTGACGTTAGGACCCGCTCGCGTGGTTTTTCCTGTCGCCGGCTAAGCCGTGGGAGCAGGTGTGTGTGCGCGTGCGGTGCGCGCGCTTTCCTACCGCCTCGAGCGGAAACGGAGCGTCCGCGGCGTGGTTTGTTCCGGGAGCGTGTGTCTGTCTCCGCCCGCTGAGCCCACACCTGCTTGGGAGGTGCCGGGTACCAGTCCCCCCGCCAGGAGCCACCGTCGGCTGCTGGGCGTAAGACGCGGCCCCCCACGCAGACTCGGAGCTGGCCGTGTAGACCTCAGACTGGCTTGTCTCAGCAGTCTAAAACCAGCCGTGCAAAGCAGAAGCCCCGCTCGGGCGGCCAGCCGGTGGAGCCTGGGAAAGCCGGGCAGCGTGTGCGGCACGAGGCGGGGTGGCGCCGGGAGCCGGGCTTGGGCGTGTGTGTCGGCTGTTCACAACACACAGAACACGCTTTCCTTTGCTTCTGCTGGTTCTGCCCCTCCTGTGTCTGTGCAGACTGGAGGCGGCTGGGTCCCCAGCGTCCCGAGGCCGTTCATGTGGGGGGGACCAGGGTGGCCAAGGGGGAAGGAGAGTTGCCTGGAGCCCTCCTCCCGCCCGCCCGTGTGCAGGAACCTTCCTCCTGCCCTGACGGTGTCCTCCTGGTCTTTACTTCCTGCTTTTCCCCAACTGCCTACGCAGCTCACCCTGTGACGGGGGGCAGGGGGCGTCCATTTCTCAGACACGACCGGCCGGGCTCTCTGCTCCGTCTTACGGCATGCTGCAGGTCACGAGGCCGACGTGGCAGGTGTGGAAGCCAGCCTTGGCCTGCTGCCGCCGCCCCCACGGGGGGGGCCCTCGGTCCCTGTGCCGGGAGCCACAGAAGTGGGTGCTGTGCCGAGGCTCTGCGTTCACAAGGACAGCGGCCAGCGGCACCCCGCCCACAGCTGATCATCCTCCGCAAGCCCCGTGCAGGGGGCCACGGGCTTACCGTCCTTCCCATCAGGTGGCGGGCAGCCCTGCCTTCCTGCTGGCGCGTCTCGGGCTAGACGGCCTTCCGCGGGTTCTGTAACAGGCGGCCGGTTTCTTGTCCTGCAGGGTCTCTCCTCACGACTGTCCCCTGTGATTTGCTGGACCACTGCGGCCCAGTAAATCCCCGCGGGATACTGGGAGGTTTCTGTGCAGCGCAGGCCGCAGGTGGACCACCGGCCGTCTCAGTCTGCCGGGGCCGCTGGGGCAGACACCGCACACAGGCGGTGTAGACAGCAGCTCTCGTGCTCTGGAGGCAGACGTCCAGGATCAGGCGGCGGTGGTGTTGGCTCCTTCCCAGGCTCTGAGGAAGGCCGCCTGCAGGCCCGGGGTTGTGGGCGCACCTCGGCATTCTCCCGGTGGCCTCGAGCATGGGGTCAGGGCACATGTGTCTGCGGTGGGGCCGCATCGTAACTGGTTCTGTCTGCAGCTCCCAGCCGTGTCCCAGATAAGGTCCAGGGACCGGGGGTCAGCACCGCAACTAGCAGTCTAGGGGGCCACAAGCGAGCCCCTGAATCACTTGTTCTCTCTTCCTTGTGCTGCTGCAGCTGCGGGGACGTTCACGAGACGCTGCTGTGTGCCAGCTGCGCCATGTTCGAGGCCTGAGGCCCAGGGCGGATGCCAGCTTTCCGGACGGGCCGCACGGGCGCTGCTGCTGCTGCGGAGCTGGGGGCCGGGGCGGGCGTCAGTTTTATATTTTGTACTGAGGGCAGAGTGAATAAATCCCTTTATATTTGGACAGGCCTTGCTCAGCAGTTCTGGGAATACAGCCTCCAAGGGCGTGTGCCCACCGACATACAGGCCCTCGGAGCTCTGGGTGAGGTGTGTCCCCGCTCTTCCTGGTTTTATGGATGGGAAACAGGCGTCCAGAGTCGGGTCCTTGAGCCCCTCCAGCCAGTGGTGAGGAGAGAGGATTTGGAGCGGGGTCGTCTGACTCCGGAGTGCAGGACCGCTGTGTCAGAGCAGCTCGGGATGTCGGGTGACGTCCCATACTGTCCCCGAGATGGCGCCACTACCTGCGCCCATCTGGGTGTCCACTGGGTTTTTCAGGGGCGGCTCTGGGTGGCCTGACGTCCCTGCTGTCCAGGAGTGACGCCCAGCTGGGCAGTGTCCCCACTGTGTTCGGGGCAGTGGGGTGTGTGCGAGCTGGAGGGAGGGTTGTTGATGGGAGCCACAGCGAGGTGGCCAGCAAGACAGAAGAGGCGGCCAGGGGAGGTCATACGTGAGCAGGGTGTGGATCTCCCTCACCTGGTGCGAGGGTCCCCTGCTGTGGACTCAGCGGCCTGCTCATGAGCAAAGAAGTGTCCAGGGAATCCTTAGAAGACAGCAGGGTGGTGGGCTGGAGAGTTGCTCGGATTCGCTACTGTGAGAGGAGCATAAAAACCCCTGAAGTTCAAATGGGGAGGGCCACGCACAGGCAAGGAGGCCGACGCGGTCAGGGCCCCAAGCTCTGGAAACAGCTGTCCGTTGGCCATCCTGGTCACAGGACCACCTCTCGTCTGGCTTTCTGCAGAGGCCCTCGGGCCCCCTGGGTGCCCCTCTGCAGGCCATGAGTCCAGCAGGCACAACATCACACCAGTCATTTGGGAAAAGCACATCAAAACCCCAAGGACATAGCACCTCTCACCAATGGCCACCACTAAGGAGACAGAGCCAGGGGCGCCTGGGTGGCTCAGTGGGTTAAGCCTCTGCCTTCAGCTCGGGTCATGATCTCAGGGTCCTGGGATCGAGCTCTGCATCGGGCTCTCTGCTCCGTGGGGAGCCTGCTTCCTCCTCTCTCTGCCTGCCTCTCTGCCTACTTGTGATCTCTCTCTCCGTAAAATAAATAAAATCTTAAAAAAAAAAAAAAACGAAAAAGCAGAGCCAGTGTGGGCAGGGGACGCGGAGAAAGCGCTGTCAGTGGGAGTGGAAGATGGGGCCACTGTGGAAAAGAGTGTGCTGGGTTCCTCAAAAAACGGAAAGGAGAACTGTGGGGTGGTGTGGTTGTCCCTCTAGTGTGTGTTTACCCGAAAGTGAAAGCAGGAACATGAAGAGATGTGTGCCCCACCCCCCTGTGGTCACCATGCTGTGAGTCACCATGGCCGGGGGGGCGGGGTGGAGGGCAGCCTCGCGTCCATCAGCATGCGAGGGGTAAACAGACTGGCCTGTGCTGGGGGGTCGGCAATCCAGCCTCGGGGGGAGGGCGGTCCTGACACTTCTAGGGACCGTCAGGAGAGGGGGCTCCATGACCTGAGCCGACACAGGGAACTGATCCTGCCCAGGATGCCCCTCAGGGAATCTGGTCGTAGACAACAGTCAGGGCGGGGGGGGGTTGGTCAGTGTTTCACAGGGACAGTTTCAGTCTGGGAAGATGGGTGGTGGAGGGGAGACCTGCACGCCAGCCTAGGTTGGAGCCGGTTAAGTTGCCAACTCTTGTTTGTGGCTCAGGTCATAACCTCAGGGTCCCGGGATCGAGCCCCATGTTGGGGGGCAGTTCCCTGTTCAGCTAGAAGTCTGCTTCTCCCCCCCCCGACTCATGCTGTCCTCTCTCAAAATCTTTATGAGATTTTATTTACTTGACAGAGACAGAGGGAGCACAAGCAGGAAAGGGAGAAGCAGGCTCCCCACTGAGCAGGGAGCCCAATGCGGGGCTCAGTCCCAGGACCCCAGGATCATGACGCTTAACACCTGAGACACTCAGGCGCCCTAAATATAATATTTAAAAAAAAATTTTTTTTTAAAGGCATGTGGTTGGGGCGCCTGGGTGTCTCTGTCTAGTAAGTGTCCGCTTTCGGCTCAGGTTTGATCCCAGAGCCCCGCACTGGGCCTCCTGCTCAGGGGTCTGCTTCTCCCTCTGCCCTTCACCCCGCCGGAGCTTTCTCTCTCAGAGCCACACTCTCTGTCAGACAAATAAATAAAATCTTAAAAAGTAATAAAAATAAAAAGGCCTGTCGTGTCAGTCTGCATAGTCGCATGAGAGCCCGCATTTAAAGAAGCCGATGCCAGTTGCCTCCTGAGAGCAGAAGTGGTGGCAGCGTGCTTAGGGCCGATGCAGAGCGTGGGGTGGGCGTGTGTCCTGTCCCACACCGTCCCTCCGCGCAGCCGGCATGGCAGGCCGGCTCCTGCGGCCGAGAAGGAATGTCCGTGGGAAAGCTGGTAAAACAAGCCAGTAAAGGAGAGAAGATGGATGTTTGAAAAAAGTCCTTAAATCCAAAATCAGGTGAGGAAAGACAAGAAAAGGAACAGATGGGACACAGAAGAGCGGCCGGAGGCTGGATAAGCTCGGCCCCGTGGCTGGGCGGGAGCAGACCCCGCGCTTCAGTCAAGGCCGCTCGGCCGGAGGCACTCAGCTTGCACCCGCCTCGCCCACAGACTCACCTTAGGTATAAAGACACAACGCCCAAAGGACCATAAACTCCGTCTCCGAGCCGGCGTCCCTGGGCCAGCCCCGCCGCGGCTCCGCAGGGCAGGCCCGCGGCCCCGAGGTGGCGCGTGCGCACGTGCCACAGGGGTGCGCGGTGCAGGTGCGGAGCACGGTCCGTCCCGCCGGAAGCCCCTGTGCTGGCCAGAGTGGCCGTGGGGGATGTGGGCCGGGAGAGGGCGGTCCGGCTGGGACAGGATAGGCCCCCGGGAGTTGTCTGAGGTGCCGGTCTCGTTGGCGCTGTCCCCCCCAGAAGTTTGGGGCATCCCCTCATTCCTCAGCTCCCCCCACTGAGATGGGGTTGTGCCGTGTCCAGGCCCCCAACTCTGACCCCTCTCCTGGGACCAAAAGCATCCCCTATCACCTGTGGGGAGGGGCGGGCCCGCCTGACCCCGAGTCCAGGCCCCTCCCTGACTTCCACAGCCGCCCAGCACGAGCAGCCACTGTTTTTGCTCAGAGTTGGAGGATAACGGAGGGGGTTGCTGTACTTCCCATGGTGGACCTTTTCTTTTCTGCATTAAGCTGTGTGTTAAAACGTAATGATCTTAACCATTTCAAGTGTGCAGCCCGATGGCACCAAATGTGTTCCCCAGCGTGTCCCATCGTCTCAGGACTCTACCGTGCGGATCCGCTCTCGCCATTAGACGCAGCCCGGCCCCGGGCACCGCCTCTGCTTTCCCTGTGCGTCTCACTCCCCCAGGACCCCCATGTTCGTGGAGCTCTAGTGTCTGTCCTCTCGGGAAGGCCTCTTCCACTCCGCATGGCGTCCTCCACGTCCACCCGTGTCGTCGCAGGGGCTGGGAGGGCCGCTTCTGAAGGCCGGCTCCGGTCCCCGGAGTGGATGGGCCGTTTGGCGTGTCCGCTCACCCACGCCAGACACTCGGGTTCCATTCACAGGTTGGCCGCTGTGAACCGTGCTGCAGGGACCACAGGGGATGGATCTCTGCTTTCAGTCCTTCCGGGTACAGACCTGGAAGTAGACTTGCCGGGCTCTGGTCCCTGTGTGTGTGGTTTCTTGAGGAACCGCCGGACCATTGGCCTCAGCAGCTGCACCGTTTCACCTTCGCACCGGCCGGCGCGCGGGGCTCGGACCTGATGCCCACGTTCGTGTATGTGACACGAGGACGTCTCTTACCTCCAGAACACCCTTCAGGACGTCACGTCCAGTGCGTGTGTGTGGTCCCAGGAGAGCTGTGCCCTCTTGTGACTGGGGGCTGCTCCGGATGTGCCTCCGACCCGGCACTCCTCACAGGTGCTCCCTCCGGCAGAGGAGGACCGCCAACCCCGCGTGGAACCACCCGGGGGTCTGGAGAGGGAGGAGCCCGCACCCCCACCTGCAGGCCCCATGCCCCAGGACCTGTGAATGGCCGGGACGCCCCGGCCACACCTGGGGGGGAGTCCACGGGAGCCATGAGGAAGCAAAGGCTCCCAGGCTCCCTCTGCGGTCATGGGCTGGGCAGCGGGCGCCTGTCTGCGCAGAGCAAGCGGCCACCAGGGGGCAGTGCCGCCCGTCCCTCGGTCTGCTGGGTCCAGTGGGGCCGCCGCGCTCCCTGCTCCCCGCTCCGCTCCCCGACAGTCCCACGACAGTCCGACCGGCTGTGGGATGCTGCCAGGCCTCCTGGGCTGAGGGGGGTTCCCAGCTGGGCGCGTGGACAGCCAGGGCATCTGCCCGCCCTCCCTTGCTCGCGGGGACAGGCTGAACGAGGCTCCCCCAACCCACGCGCCAGCCACACGCTCTTTGACCCGCCGCCCAGCAAAACAAGCCGGAGTTGAAAAGCAGTGTTTACTGAGGAGTCTGGAGGGAAAGTCTCATAATAGTAAAAATAGTAAAGGCGAACGTAAAAAGCGCCCTGGGCGGCATGGCGTCCGGCCTCGAGGCGCGGAGGGTCTGCCACGGCCCCTCCCAAGGGGCGCTGGGCACACAGCGGGCCAGTGAAGCTGCGCCGAAGGACGGGTGCTACCTGGGGACACCGCCCCAGTGAGACGCCCCCGAAGGGACCAAAGTGTGGGAGGGGCTTTCTGGTCACTGTGATTAAAAACCCCAAAATACAAGTGAATAGCGTAATACACAGCAACGGACTGCAACCTCGTTCCTCTGCCTCCGGGCGAGCCCGGCCTGGCCTGCCCCAGGGAAGGGACCAGGCCCGCGCGCCACAACCAGCTGCTGCTGGTGCCCCCGGGCCGGGCCGAGACAGCTGGCGGGAGGGATGCAGGGGCCACAGGCAGGGCACCCAGACCCCACCTGCACGTGGCTGCATAAGGTCCTTGGCCTTTTCCTACGTGACTCTACTCGTTCTGAAGGCCAAGGCCATGTCTGGAGACCGAGATGAAATAAATTAAAATCCCCGCAGGCCGCCTTTCCTCGGAGGCTGGCCCCTGCCCACAGCATGAAGCGTCTTCCCATCCCCGCCGGGAGGAGGGGCATGGCTCCTCCCACACGCACCCAGAAGTCACACCAAACACACATGGTCCTGCGCGGCTTCCTCCCCGTCCCCTGCAGCCGCCAGGAGCAGGGCAGCCAGCTGGCCTCCCTCAGGCCGTGCCGCTGGCCGAGTATGAGAACTGTGGGAAGTGGGGTCTCCGCTCGCTGTCCTCACCCTCCATGTTGTCACCTGTGGGCAGGCGGGAGGGACGCTCAGATCCCAGCACGGGGAGCACGGCTACCATGCATCTGGAGAAACTGAGGCAGGCCCCAAGGCTCGCCTACCTGGGACCAGGGCGGTCCCTCCCGCCCCCATCACCACCAGCCTCGCGCAAGGGACCATCCCAGGCCTCAGAGGGAAGGGTCGGCCGGGAGGTAGCCCTCCCTCACCCTGGTCGGGCGGCGTGATGGTGATCATCTGCGCCGTGAACTCCTCGTCGAAGTATCTGGTGTCCGTCTCCGACGTGACCTGTGGCTTGAAGGGTGGACTGAGCTGCAGGGAACAAGGGGGCGGTAGGTTGAGGCTGTACCCTGCGGTGCCCCAGGGCCTGAGCCCCCTGCCCCCCACCGACAGGGAAATGTCTCCAGGCCACACTGAGGCCATGGAACTTGGCTCCACAGGGAGACACACAAGGGAGGGTGGCGGCCTGGGACCCCGCAGACATGCCCCTTCCCCAGAGGCAGGCCCGCGTCGCAGGGGGCCCCACAGCCCACCAGCTCTGTAGGGCCCCAGGCAGAGGAGACCAACCCATGCTCTTTTCTAGCTTTCTTCACTTCCTTCTGGTTCTCTTATGAGGTGAGGAGATGGAGAGGGATGCCACAGGACAGGGTGGGCGCCCAGCCCCATCCCTAGGGGCCACTCATAGCCTGCTTTCCTGACCACGGCCACTCAGCCTAGCCACCAGGGGCTCCCACTTTGAGAATTCACGATAAAGGGACAGTCCCATCCCCACCAGGGCCCATAAGTGGTACTCCCATGCCGTGGCTCAGGGGGGCCATGGCTGCCCTGGGAGGGGACCCCAGTAGCACCCCGATAGTGCTGGGGTACAAGGTGAACTTGATATGCTGGGCCCTCCCTGCCCAACTTCCCATAAGGAGAGAAGACCAGGCCTTTCTATCTGCACAACGGGGAGAGGACAGGTCCTGAGCACAGGGCCTGGCTGGTCTCCTTTGCGGCTCAAGGACAGGGACACAGCCGAATCAGGCTGCAGAGGGTGTGCGGGAACTCTGCCGGAGCCGGCGGTGGGAGGAGGGCCCTGCAGGCACGCACCGCCCCCCGTACTCCAGGGCTGCCCTGCACAAGCTAGCAGCGTCCCCGGTCCGCTGTCGCTGGGCAGGGGCAGGGAAGTGGACAGGAGCTGGGCAGGGCGGGGGCACCCCGTCTTGCAGCATGTGGCCGGCACAGGGAGAGGACAGAAGCCAGCTGGAAGTCTGTTTGGTGACAGGGTGCCCGGCACACCCCGGTACGGCCCTCCTGAGCCTGCCGGGCTGGTCCTGTTCCGCCCTAAGCCTGCAGCAGGAGGCCCTGAGGCCAGAGGGAGGGAGTGGGGGAGCAGAGCTGGTGCTCTCACATCCCCGCCGGGGCACCCTGTTCAGGGAGTCCATGCGGACACAGCTCCTCCCCGCAGGGCTCCGCAGGCAGAGCCCGGGTGCAGAGCTCAGGCCCCAGGGGATGGGTACGGGGAGGGGCCGGGGGCGCCAGGCCCCCACCCACCTTCTTCTCATACACGTCCTGCCACACGACAGTAGCGAAGAAACGGTGCTGCATGATCTCCTTGGCGTCCTCCGGGCCCCCTCCAAGCCTGCGGGGACACGCCAGCTGCCACTGCCTGCCTGCCCGGCTCAGCAAAGGCCTGCCCCCCACCGGGCTCTAGCACAGTGCAGGGACGGTGTGGGGGGGGCACAGCACCGGGGCCACGGCCTGGTCCTGGGGCCATAGGGGTAGGGTACTGCAAACCCTCTGGGGGGGCCGTGGACAGGCCGTGCCAAGGGCCGTGTCCCCGCGTGTGTAGAACGCTGGGGAGGCAGGCACTGCCGGCACGGTGGGGTCTTCCTGAGCAGCTCTGGGAGGCTGCGAGGTCAGGGTCAAGGTGCCTGTCTGGCCCCAGCCGGCCTGGCGGAGGGCGCACATCAGCCATCACTGCGGCCTAGAACCGGCCCCACTGTCCCGAGGGGAAACGGGGCCAGGGCTGCGCGGCTCACCTCTGCTTTGGGTCTTTCCGGAGCAGCCCCGATAGCAGGGACTTGGCCTCGGGGCTGAGCGTGCGCGGGAAGCGGAGCTCCTCCATGAGGATGAGCTCGAAGAGCTTCTCGTGGTCCTGGTTGTAGAAGGGCAGGCGGCCGCACAGCATCTCGTACATGACCACGCCCAGCCCCCACCAGTCGACCGCCCGGCCGTAGTCGTTGTCCTCCAGCACCTGGGGGCGCAGGGCCGCAGGGTCACAGGCCGCCTGGGGGCGTGGGGTCCCAGGCCGCCTCGGGGGATGCAGCAGGGGCGTACCTCGGGGGCCAGGTACTCGGGCGTCCCGCAGAAGGTCTTCATGGTGGCCCCGTCCTTGATGCCCTCTTTGCACAGGCCAAAGTCGGTGATCTTGATGTGCCCGTCCTTGTCCAGCATGAGGTTCTCCAACTGAGGGGCGGCCTCCAGGTCAGCACCAGCCCGCCCCGCCGCCCCGCTGCCCCCTGCCGCCCTGCCCACCCACCTTGAGGTCGCGGTAGACGACGTTCTTCTCCGAGTGCAAGTAATGCAGGGCGGACACGATCTCGGCGCCATAGAAGCGGGCCCGGTCCTCGGGGAACACGCGCTCCCGGGACAGGTGGAAGAAGAGCTGCAGGGCGGGGGTGTGAGGGGCGCACAGCCGCAGGGCCCCTCCCCGCCCCCGCGCCGAGCCCTGAGAGCCTGACCCCCGCCCCGCCCCCCGCGGGCCCTGTGCTGGGGAAGGGACGTCCGAGGCTCCGGGAGGGCCGGCCCCAGGCGGGCGCACAGCCACCCTACCTCGCCCCCGTTGGCGTACTCCATGACGAAGCAGAGGCGGTCGTGGGTCTGGAAGGAGTACTTCAGGGCCTGTGGGGACGCAGAGCTGGTGCCCGGGCCCCGTCCCGCCCGGAGCCCCGACCCCCACAGGTGGTTCCCGAAGGAGCAGCTTGGGCTCTGCACCCAGTCTCGGCCGGCTGGGATCACAGAAGCCGGCAGGTTCTGGGGACAGTGAGGAGGCGTCCCTGCGGCCCCCGGGCCCCCACACAGGAGGCGGGGCAGCAGCCAGACCCTCCGCAAGGGCAGGACGCGCCCAGGGCAGAGCTTCCCAGCCGCCTTCCTACCTCATGGCACAGCGGCCTGGCTGGGAGAGGAAAGGCCCAGATGACCGAGTCATCCCCCCAGGTGAGTGACCCCAGATCTAACCTAGCGGCCAGAAGGAGCTGCAGTCACGGGAAGGCCAGCTCTGGACTTCAGGCAGCGGGACCAGCCACGCCGCACGGCCCCCGTCCCCACGGAGAACCCGCAGGAGGGGGGTGCCGCTGCCGGGCCAGAGGGGCAGGGGCTGGTGTGCGGGGACCCCAGCGTCTCTGTCCACCGTGACGGGGGTGCTGTAGTCACGGGGCTGCACTGAGGGGGAGGGAAGGACACGCAGCCTGGACATGAGAACGGGGGCGAGCTGACACGAAGGAGGTGAAACCAGCACAATGAGTGAGTCCAGGCAAACACTGAAACCTCTTGAAGATGTCAGCTGCTTCGCGCAAGAAACTGCTTTAACGAACAGACACGCTGGAGAAATACAGCCTTTCTCTGCTCTGCCCCTGCTCTGGGCCAGGCAGTCCCCTTGGAAGAGGACGCCACGCTGAGCAAAAGGTGACAGGGACTGGAACTCCCGGGGAGAGCCCGGGTGGGGGTGGCCGTCTGTCCCCTCCATGCCGACTGGCTTGTCGACACCTACACGGAGGCTACCGGCATTGCACGGGCCCCTCCTGGGCTGAGCACTCCCGGGACAGGGACCCTCCACACTCCAGCCTCGGAGTAGAAGCAGCAGGAAGGGGGTGTGTCAAATGGGGGGTGTGGGGGCCTCCCAGGGCCTCAGGCAGCGCAGAGGGAAGACTCAGGGCTCCCATCCCATTTGCTACCCCCACCCCCTCCCAGCCTTGGGGGCCTCCATCCCCAGCCTGGACTCTGAAGGACACCAGCTCGGTGTGCAGGGACACAGGCACAGGGCCTCCAGGACTCACCGTCAGGAACGGATGCCTCGAGTTCTGGAGAACACGGTTCTCCGTGAGCGTGTGGGCGACCTCGTCCTGGAAGACAGGGCTGGGTGAGCGTCCCACCCCCGGCCCGCCCCAGCCCGCTCCCGGCCCTGCGCCCTACCTTAGCCACGATGACCTCCTTCTTGAGGATTTTCATGGCGTAGTAGCGGCCCGTGGCCTTCTCCTTCACCAAGATCACCTTCCCAAACGTGCCCTTCCCCAGCAACTTCAGGTACTCAAACTCATTCATGGTCTGCGGGGCGGCGGGTGGTCGCCTGGGGTCAGGGGCCCTGCCCCCCCACAATCCCGCCTCTCCGCCTCCCTGCGCACACGGGGCTCCCCGGCGGCCACGTGGGGGGAGGGCCTCACCACACGGTGCTTGGGCTTGGCCAGGGACACCTCCATCTCCTCGGCCCCCGAGTTGTCGCTGGGCGAGCCCGACCTGAAGTCCATCATCTCCTCCTCCTGCCTCTTGAGCCCGTCGGCCACCGTCTGGATGGCAGTCGTCCACTCCTCCCTGCAGGGCTGCAGGTCAGGGCCCGGGAACTGGGCCTGGACGCTGTGGCCACGGAAGCCCTGCTCCCCACACCGCACCCCCGCCGTGCCCACGGGTCGGCCTCGTACCGCTCCTCAGGGGTCTCCACGTGGAAGGTCCGCTCGATCACCGTGGTCCACTGCAGACAGCGGATGATGAAGGTGTTGGGTCGGGGCCGCTCCGTCTTCATCAGCTGGCATTCTGGGGGCGGAGCTGGCAGATGAGTGCCCGTACCCCCCACACACGGCCCGCCCGCCCCCCAGGACCCCACCCTGTGGCCCACTCCAAGCCCCGGCTCCCCTCCTCGTACAGTGGGGCTGGGACACCTATTCCCGCCCAGACGCCATGCTCTGAGCAGTGAGGTGCCCCTGAGGGGCCGGCTGGGTCCTCTCGGCCCCCTGCCATCCTCTCCCTCAGTCCTTCAGGCTCTGAGCCTGTGCTGCAAGCCAGGCCACGGCTCCACAGGCCAGACGGTGAGCGCGGGCGCCCCAGTGAGGGGCAGGCAGGAGGGAAAGCAGCTGGGCCCTGAGCAGCGACCCCCTGCTGTCTTCCTGCCCCAGACTGCCAGGCCCCGCCCCCCACCCCCCAGTAGGCCCGTTCCAGGGCAGAGGCTGGTGGTGACTCAGCCTTCAGAGAGGCCCCCTGTCCTGGCCGCAGGCAGCTGGAGGACACGACCCCCCAGGAGGCTGCTCGGGCTGTACTCACCCTACACTGGTGACACCCCGCCCCCCCCAGAGGCTGCCGATTCCAGATAAAGAGCCAGAACACGCACGCACACGGGGAGCACACAAGCACACGCACACCGGGCACGGGCACACACACCTGGAATGTGTGCACACACTGGGAGCCCAGGGACCGTGGGGATGCACCAGCCCCGAGGGTGAGGCCGTCGGGGCTGCTGCCCAGAAATCCTGGGCTGATGCCGGCCCAGCCTGTGTGAGCGGAGAGGGAGCCCAGGGCCAGCGCAGGGGCTTCTGGTGGTCCAGCACCTGGGCCTTGGCCACCCCAAGGGGCCCAGCGTGGGCTCAGCAGAGTGTAAGGAAGTGGCCCACCAGGGCTCTGCACCAGAAGGGGGCTTGGGACCAGCCTATGGGGAGGTGGCCTGTGTCAACATCTCAGAGCCTGGCTTCTCGCCCCCGCCATCCATCCCCAAGGAAAAGCCCCCCAGCAGAGGCCGCAGCCCAGCCACCTCCCTGTCTGTGTCTCTGCACCTTGGCTGGGGCTCCAGCTGGCCTGTGTGGCCTGGCCTTAAGACCCCGGCCCCTCCCCCACCGCTCAGGCCACCCTCCGGATGGTGCCTGCCTCCTGCGAGCCTCCACAGGGTCCCCTTTGGCCCCCCTGCACTCTGCCCATACCGAACACTCCTGAGGACCCTCGCACTCCTGCCAGCAAGGTGGCACACGCCCCAGCCCCGGCCGAGGAGGCAGTGGAGGGAGCCCACACCATCGGCAAGCTGCAGGGGACGCTGATGCCTGCCTCTGTCTCCCTTCCCCCGGGGCCCTTACTCCACCCGCCGTCTGAGGAAGCCTGAGGCTGGGGGGCGGGAGGGCTGCGGGACTCAGTGGACTCCGCGGTAAAACCTCCCTGGGAGACCCCCAGGCTGGGAACTCCCCAACAGAAGCCCCTGGGGCGGGTACACTGGCAGCAGCGCACCCTGGGAAGATGGGCGGCCAAGGTCCGGGGGCGCCCCTGCTCAGACCCTGGACCAGAACCTGCCCCAGGCCGCGGGGGCAGCGGGACTGGGAAGGGGGAGCTAGCAAGAGCGTGGAGGAGCCCGGACCCCCCACTGGACACTGGACTCTGGCATCCCAAGAGGGACCCAGGAGGCCTGTTGCTGCCTGAGTCCCTCCCTCATGCGCCCCCCCCAACTGGGCCTGAGTCCCAGGAAGCACCAGGACAGAGCCAGGGACCCGGGTGCCCGGACCAGAAACAGAGACCAGGCAGAGGCCCACCGGGCTGAGCATCACCCCCTCCACACCCACCGCAGCCCAGCTCTGTGTCTGGCGCTCCCCAGCCCGAGTCACCAGCCCCTGGGACTCAGAGAGCTCCCACTGGCCAGAACCAGCCACTCACCAGTTCCCATGGGGACTCAGAACCAGCCCTGCCCCACCTGGTCCCTGGCCACTGCTGGCCCCAGACACAGAGGCCCAGGGGACGTCAGTGCGGGGGCTGCTGGGCACAGAGGACTCCTGGCACCCTGGCCGCCTGTCTAGCCAGGGCTGGCCCCACGCCCAACAGCACCGGACCACATCCCTGCGTGGCCATGGGCACTCACGAGCCACAGAGAAGTTGTTGAGAGGGGACTCTCGCTGCTCCACATCCTGGGGCCGCTCCTTGTAGCCGATAAAGGTGCCATCGTTCTTGAGCAGGAAGTACCTCGGTCGCCAGGTTTTGATGTACTCCCCTGAGGACACCCAGGCAGTGAGGGGCTGGGGCCACCGGCCCTGCTCCCCCCTCCACCCCAACAGAAGCTCCAGCTCTGCTCCCCCTCCCCAGAAGCCCCGGCCCTGCAGCACGCCAGACGGTTGCTGTGCCTGAGCAGACAGGACACCCTAAACCCAGGAACCTACCCCTGCCCCTCACCCCCAGCATGGTGGGCAGGCCGCCTGCCAGGGCGTCGGGGCTGAGCGCTCCCCACCCACCTGGGGCCAGCCAGTTACTGCAGTGACCGGGGCCAGAGGACTGCCCACCACAGCCGTCCCTGGCCTGCGGGTTGGAGCCTGACATCCGGAACTGAGAGGACAATGACTGAGACTTAAGGCCCAACCCCTGGGGCTGGGCACCAGGACAGCCCCTCAACACCCTGCCCAGAGCCCCAAGGAGAAGCCAGACCCTGGAGGTATCCGTGTGGTCCTCGGGCTGTGAGCCCCAACCCTGACCGCCATGGCACACGATGAGTTACCCAGGTACACGGGGAACTTTCCCCAAAGTTTCGCCACATCAGCCATAAACAGGCGTTCACAGTGAAGAACCAGAGCAGATGTCCTCTGCGATATTCGGGCGACTGTCATTTTTCATACTGACACCCAGAAAAAAAATGTTTCATTTACATTTTGCCGAGCAAGGAATTTGAACAACAACGGAGAACTTCCTAACTAGACAACTGCTTTATCACAGGAGCCACTGGGCAGCAGGTGGGGGCGCTGGGGTCCCCAAGCTCTGGGCCCAGGCATTCCCTCCCAGCTGAGCCCCAGGGGAGGGGGGCGAGCAAAGGCCCCATGCTGGACCGGGCGCCTGTGCTCCCCGCGCCTCACCACCCAGCCCCTCCCTACCAAGGGCCTCCGGCTGTGGCCTCTGAGAGCCAGCCCTGCCTCTGCTCCGCCCGGTGTTCCGCTGTAGGCCCAACAGGATGGCCGGCAGTGACCCGCCCCATACCCCAACAGCATTTAGTGGGATCTCCACCCGGTTCCGCCGAGCACCTCCAGCCCGGGAAGACGCTGGGAAGGCTGCAGTCAGGTCTCGTACGGACGCCGCTCCTGGGACTCCCCCCACCCCCAGACACCCCTTCCCTGCTGATGCAGCGGGTGGGCAAGAGCGGAGCAGGCTCCTGGGGGGGGGGGGGCTGTGCGTGGCCCACCACCCGCGCCGTCCCGGGCCGCTCGCTCCCACCCGCCTGCGTGCCAGTCTGGAGCTGTCGGCCCCTGATGGAGTGCCTCCCATCCTGCCAGCTGCCGCTCCCCGGGACGCTAACTGAGCGGGGAGACTGATGCGCGGCTCACCCACACAGACCCCAAATCCATCTTGATGCACCAACTGCCACCAGCCCCCACCGTGCCCGCACAGCACCCCAGCACCATGGCCCGTGCGTGCAGTTGGGGCGTGTGCGCCTGCCCAGCAGCACCCACGTATCAGAGGGGGCCTCAGTTTCCCCACCGGGTCCAGGATCCCTGGAACAGGGGTGCCGGTGCTGCTAAGGAGCCACGACTCACCCTGCACCTGCGGTCTAGCAGCCTCCAACCCCTCCCCCACTCCAGGGCCAGGAAGGCTCTGGAACCCAGAACTGGGGAGTGGGGGGCGAGGAGGCAAGGGAGCAACACTGGCAGGGACGAGGCGGAAGGGCAGGCTCGGCCCCAGCTGAGCCTCGGACAAGGGCCCGGGAGGACAGGCGGGGACTCTGCTGGGCCCTCTGCCAGCCCCCAGCCCCAGGGCACTGAAGGGGGGACCATGGTTGGTCCCCAGCTGCCCCCCCTCCCCGCCTGTGCCCCACATGGCTGAGCCCAAGAGCCACACAACACACAGGTGGGATGAAGGCCCAGGGAAGGCGGCCTCACTCGGCCCCCGACCTGGGCAGCTGGGCCCACAGACCCCCCGGGGAAGAACCCCCGGGGAGGCGTGGGGACCCAGGGGAGGATCCCCTGGGGAGGCTGGGGCTGAGGCTCTGAGACACACAGACCCCTTCTGCCTGGCAGGGTGCACCCCGGTGGCCACCTGGGGCCGCCGCGGTACCAGAGGCATCCTGGGCTGTGGCCTGTCTCTGAATGAGTCCAACCCAGGCCCCAGAGCCCTGAGGGTCTGGGGTGACACAGGCTGGACCCTGTGGGGGCTGCAGCCACCCCTGGGCCTAAGCACCGCTGTCCTCAGCCACAGGACTGCAGCCATGGGCGTGGGCCGGGGACACCCACCATCCAGGGCTGCTGGTGGGAACCCCGGCACCTTCACTCTGGGCAGGGGACAAACAGGGAAGACCAAGTCGGCCCTTCAGGACACGACTCCCTAAACGGGGGTCTCTGCCACTCCTCTGGGGACAAACGCCTGCCCACAGCCGGGGGAATCTCCTGGGAGCCGCCTACGCGCAACAGGAAGCAGCCTGGACCCGCACCCAGGCCCAGGGCACATGTCTGGTCCCTGGCCCTCGCAGCCAGGGCCCAGGACCCCCAGAGCGGCTCTCCATCCCCCGCTTCCCTCCCCATCCTCCCCATGCAAACATTTCAGACCAAGGCCCACACAGGGTCTCCGCAGAGGCCCAGACCAGTCTGAGAGTCCCCTGCATACCACCCAGCAGCCCAGCCAGGAGGACCCCATACCTGCTGCCACGAGACAGGAGCCATGGTGAAGCTGCGGGCAAGCACCCCTACCCAGAGGATCTCTACCGGGGCAGGCAGCTTCTCCTTCCCCGCTCAGGGTTCTCTTAGAAGCCCAGCCCTGGGCCAGGGTCAGGGAGGGACCCACAGTGCCCCAGGACCCACAGAACCACACCCACCCCTCGGAGACCACATCTCGCCCAGCCACCAGACTGGGGGCGGGGGGCCCTCACGCCCTCCTGAGCCCCTTCACTCCCACACGAGGGCGCCCAGGGAAAGGCCCCAGCTGGGGTCGAGGCAGGGCGTGCAGGCTAAGCCAGGGTCCTAGTTGCCCAGAGCAGACTCCCCTAGCTCCTACCACCCCTCCAGGGCCCCTTGGCTCCCAGCACCAGCCCCTCGGTGCCCCCTGTGTCATCCACCAGGAGGGACCTTCCAATACCCCGGCTCATCCTGGCAGCCAGCTCAAGCCCAGAAAAAGGCTGAAGGACCCCAGAAGAAGGGGGGTTCTTTGTTAGCAACCCTGGCCCCCCATAGCCCAAAACACACTGACAAGGCAACACGGCAAGGGCTCAGGGACAGGACAGGCAGAGGCTGAGGGCCTGTCCCTGCTGTGGTCCTGGGCACGTGTCCCAGGCCATGCTACAGTCAGGGCACCTCAGGCAGAGGACCTGGGGGCTGGATCCCAAGCTGGGGGCAACCCGGGGGTCCCACCACAGCCCAGGCCTGACGCTCCAGAGTCCTCCACACCATGGGGGTCCCGGCACGCTACCCCCCACCCCCAATTCGGCTGCCGCACCCTGAGCTCCATGAACATTCCCTCCAAGTCCCTGGTTCTCGGGGAAACTGCTGGATAAACACTTTGCTGCGGCAGCGGTGCAGGCGGCTGGCAGGGTGCCAGGCAGCGCCGAGCTGTTTCTCCACAGCAAAGCGAGCCCCAGCAGGCCCGGGGAGCAGGCGCCAGCTGACAGCGGCGACCGTGCGGTCCCCTGCCGCCAACACATCCATGGCGGGCCGACAGCTGCGGGGCGCTCATTTACCTTCTCCGGCACAGTGAGCAAACGGCCCCGCTGACGGCAGCCCATCCATCCCGCCCACCAGGACGGGGGCAGGCAGTGTGCGGGCACGGGTCATCCCAGGGGGCCCAGCCTGCCAGGCCTCTGCCCTTGTGCAAGCCAGGGTCCCGGGTCCCCACACTACCAGCAGGACACGAGGCCACAGAATGACATCGGAAGCCAAGAGTGCCCTGGGGGTGGGGGGGGTGTCACAGCCCCACTCAGGGCCCCGGCCCGTTGGGGTGCACCACACCAACCTGCCCCCCGAGACAGAGGCTCTCCAAGGGCAGCAGCATGGGTCCTCCCGGAGGCCGGGCTCAGACGGCCAGTGTGGCTGAGAGGAGGCAGCCACTCTGTGCCCAGGAGCAGGGCGACACGGGGAAGACAGTCGCTCCCCTACCAAGGCCCTGAGCCAGGCTGGGCCCACCCCCAGCCCACCATCCCACCCTGCCCTCCCCTCCCAGAAGGCCCCCCTGACAGGGCTCATTATGCCCACCGGTCACCTGGGGAAACTGAGGCCCAAGCAGGGGACTCTCAAGGTCACAGAAGGTGAGCAGAGACGCAGGGCCTGCTGTCCAGGCTGGGCTCACTCCAGACCACCAGACAAGCTCTTCACGAGTCTGGTTCTGCCCTCCAGCAGGCAGGCCCCAAAGTCAGGGCCCGAGGCACACAAGTGGACGCTAGAGCACAGGGAAGGCACTGGGGCCGCTCCCCGCCTCCCTCCTGCCTCAGGACAGCACCTCCCGCCCCGGCTGCCGGCACGTCACCTCCGCCCAGACATCCCACCCAGCGGCCATCCTCCTCGCAAGCCCACCTCGGCCCGGCCACCGCGCAGCCTCTGCATGCAGGCGGGAGGAGGGGCCTCCCAGAGTCCCATGCCGGCTACCACACGTCCACATCCCCCCAGGATGTGCCCCCGTGGCTTGGTCCCACAGCCTGTGCCCACCCCCACTGTCTCACTGCTAGTCTCCTGCCCTTTGCCCACGTCCTGGCTCACCCAGAGCTCCCCACAGATAAGGTCACGGCCCCCCTGCCCTGGTGCCCCCCTGCTATGCCCTGCCCACCCCTCACCCTCTCCCCATTCCAGTCTCCCTTGACCAACCAGCCACTGGGCCACCTGCACACCTGCCCTCACCACAGCGGGGTTCAGGGGGCTGGGTTTCCAAGACCAGGGGCAGCGCAGCCACATCTGTGCCTGAACAAGCTTCCAGGGGGCTGGGAGGTCAAGCGGGCAGCCCCCAGGCCCATCAGTCCCCCAGCTGCCCCGTATCTGCGGGACCTCTGGTCCCAGGACTGGGGCTGCAATCTGGGGGCCCACCTGGGGACCCGTAAACCCAAATCCAGAGTAAAGAGACCCTACCCCAGAGCACCAGGGCCAGCAGCAGCAGCATGGAGGCACCCCTCCCCAACCAGGCCATCAAGTCTCACATCCCCGAAACAGAGGTCTAGTCCACTATTTCTGAAGGCTAAAGAGAACCCCCTGAAGGCAGGAGAAAGGAAAGCAAAGGCCGGGCCAGGAGGGGACACGCGGCTCCCAGGAGCGGGCTCGTGGCTCGCCTTGCCCAGTCCACCCTAGCCGGGAGTCCCAGGGTCTCTGCCAGCTGGTCAGAGCCAGATCTGGGCCTGGGGGAGGGGAGCCTGCCCCTGCCAAGTGGAGAGGAATGGCAGACTATCAGTCAGCCCATGGTGGGGTGGCCCCGGTGGGTGGGCGCAGAGCCACAGCTGCAGGCTCTGGTTACGGGCCCATAGGGACGGCATTGGCCCCAAGCCCAGCTGGGTGTGCCCGGGCAAGAGGGACGCCAGCAGCGGCTGAGCCAGCTCCCACCCCACGCTGTCCCACAGCACTTCTAGGAACTGGGCCTGGTGCAACCCAGGCCAGCCTCTCCTGAGAGCTGCTGGCAGGAGGGGGCCCGGCCCCCTCAGCCCAGGCACCAGTGTCCCTTATGCCACAAGGGCACCGTAATGCCTAGGGCCAGCTGGAGGGAGCCTAGGCCCCTCCCTACCCTGCACAGAGCCTGGCCCACCGCAGGGCTGCCCTGCCCAAAGAGCACACCACAGCCACCTGCTGGGGCCGCCAACACAGGCCAAGGGACCCAGGGTTGGCGGGCGGTGACCCCTCACGCCCCAAGCGAGTCACCCCAGCTTCCTCTTCTGTTGTTTGTTCTGCACGGAGAACCCAACATGCTCACAAAACAGGAAACAGCCCCCAGCGACGGCGGCCACGGCCACGGCCACACACCAGGGCCAGCAGGCCCTGGAGCACACCTCCCAGCCCCAGGCCTGCCTGCCCTGAACCGAGCTGCCCCACGGGCAACGCCTGGGCCCTGCCGGACACGTGGCTCAGCAAGAGCTGCCTCCTGGACCAGGGGCTGCCGTAACCAAAGCCACGGCCACCTCGGCGTGACCTGGACGGGCGCTAGGGCCGCCCCTCCCTGACAGCCAGGGAGATTGAGGCACACAGGAGGCCCAGGGCAGCCCTGCCCTCCAGCCTGGGGCATAGGCTCAGGGGAGCTGACGTGCACCTTCGCTGTTCCCGCTGAGCCCCCTGCTCTGGCGAGGCAGCCGGCGGCACCCCGTGCAAACCCCAGGGCCACTGGGGCCCAGAAGTGCGGTAAACAGGCCCCTGGGCCTACGTCCCCGCATCTGCCCAGCAGAGCTCCGAAGGGGAGCAAGGCCGCCTCCACATGGGGCCACAAAACCAGGGATGGAGGAGAGCCTGTGCCACCAAAGTGGAACCGCCATCTCACCCCCTCGGAGCCACATGAGGGACACAGGCAATGCCATGGCCACGACAGGAAGCGGGACCTTGCCACAGCTGAGGGAGGGGCGGCGGGAGAAACCACAGCCCCCGGGGCCCATCCCCCGCCAGGACCCTGTGGACCGACACAGCCTGGAACCCGAGGAGGCCAGACCCCCCTCCACGTGCCTGCAGACGTCACCAGTGACGCGCCCCCATGCCAGCCCCAGGAGCCGAGAAGCCCCACTCCCACAGGCCAGCTGCCCAGAGGGGCCGGGCCGGCCTCACGGTGGTCTGATGAGGACGTCCCTCCCAGCTGCCCACTGGCCTGCACCAGCACGGGGGTGCCCGCCCAAGGTTCCCCACCCCACTCCAGACCCTTTCCTTCAGGAGAGGGGAGGAAGGCAGCTTCCTCCCCTCTCCGGGTCCACCTGGTCCAGCCGGCCCGTCCAGGGGTGCGGAACACCCAGGAAAACCCCACGAGCCTGGCTGGGCGTGCGGTGCACATGGTCACAGGCTCCAGCAGTGGGGCCAGGGGCAGAGACACCCCAAACGAGCTGCACAGACTGAGGCCATGGCCTTCGCCCAGAGCGGTCTGAAGACAAAACCGGATGCCACAGGCCAAGCTCAGCCAGACCCACACCCTGGAGCACACCTGCTTCTTTTAAACTGCCGACCTTTAAGTCCCAGGAGAACACCCAGAAGGGACCAAACATTGGCAAAGCCCAATTTCTGCTGAGCCCTGGTGGCTGGAGCTGGGCTCGCTGCTCGTTGCTTGGGGCGTCTGCCTGTCACTCAGGACACGGGTGTCAAATCACCCAGCTCCTGCTCAGGAAGCCCGCCCATCTCTGGGGACCCGTCTGCCCAGCCTACCTCCAGCAGCTGGAGCTCACTCCTGGGGACCAGCTCTCCAGTGCACACACTGGGACACTGAGGCCCAGGGGGCCTGACTGGCCCACAGAACAGGTCACTGCTCAGCTGGAAATCACCACCCAGGCCGGGCTCCCTACTGCCCACAGCAGCTGCTCTGGCCCAGGGCACAAAGCACCAGGACACCCAGGAGACAGCCCAAAGGTCACCCCCCACAGATGACGCCCACCTCCCCAAGGGGAGCAGGACACTCTCTCTCCTGACCTGAGGCTGGTGCCAGACAGCAGGGCCTGGAGGCTGCTGAGGCTGCTGGACCCTGACTTAGGGCCCCAATAAACCACATGCCGAACGTCAGCAGACCGGTCCCCGCCACCATTCCTATCACATACACAGGGACACCAGGGTCCAAAGAGCTCAAAACAGATCTGCAGTAACAAAGCAGCTAAATCACATTCAAGCTCAGCTCTCCAGACACCCCACTGGGCACCACCCCCGTACCCTACCCCCAGCGCCTTCAGAGGCATGTGCCCCGAGTGGCAACTGGAATTCACCCAGGCCTCAGAAAGGCATCCCCGTCCCAGCCTGGCGGGCCAGTGCACGTGCCGGTGACTGGTCAGTCAACACGTGTTTGCCAAGGACGGAGGGGTACCGGTCCCATCGTGGGCTGTGGGTGTGTGCTGCTGCCAGGCCCAGAGAAAAGGCACGGGGCCAGGTCAAGGCGGAGGGGACACCAAAGGGGTCTATGAGAGGAGGCAGACAGGGCTGGACCCAGCAAAGGTGCTCCAGGCGGGAGGCAGGACTCCTGGGGAAGCAAGGAGGTGGTACGCAGTGGGGGAGGGGATCAAGAAGGCAGGTGGGTGCAGGGGTGCTTAGGGGAAGCTGGGCGGAAGGGCTCCCCACGGACCACAGGGCCTGGAGCCTCCTCACCTCCGTGTCAAGGCTCAGTGCACTGGCCTCCCTACAGCTGCCAAACTGAACTCTAGAACACGCCGCTGACCACATCCTCGATCCTCTGTTTCAAGCCCTCTGCAGCCCCCGACCCCTCAGCCCTGTCACTTCTCACCTCCCCCTGCCGCTCCTGCAGGCTCCCAGCCTGCTCTGCCAGGGAGCTCCTATGCATCCTACAAAACCCAGGCTCGAGACACCCGCCTCTGCCACGCCTCCCTGTCTGCTCCCTCTGCAGCCAATGTTCCCTCCCAACAGCCCGTGGGGTCCTGGAGCGGGATGGGGCACCCTCCAGCCATCTGCCGGAGGGCACACGTGAGGAAGGAGCTAGCTGGGGTCACCACAGCTTTGGGAAGGGGCAGGTCTGGAGGAAGAGTAAGTTGGGGGGGGGTCGCTAAGCCCTACCCTGAGGTGGGAGGGAGTCACCCACCCAGGCACCTGGACTGAAGCCTATCCAGCCCCCACCTCCCATCCCCGAGCAATGACAGGGCTGTGGAGCAGGGGCTGTGGGCAAGGCTACAAAGCAAGGGGCTGAGGCCACGGCTTCAGCCCCACTAGGCCCCGCCAAGCCCCTCCCTGGGCGCAGAGCCCTCAGTGCGGACAGGGGAGGCTGGGCGGGTGCCGGGCTCAGGCCACTGACTGCTCCAGCACAAACACAACCCAAGCCGGGCCCCTGGGTGGTGCAGGCGCCTCCCCTCCTTCCCAGCCCAGGCCTGAGGCAGGCACCAGGCCAGGCCCATCAACTCTGCCCTGCCCTCAGGAGCCCTCGGGCAGTGCCCGGGGCCGCCATCGAGCCAGGCCTTGGACGGGCCCCAGTGTCCTCACTGCCTTCCAGGAAAGCAGGGAGGGAGGCAGCAGGGGCTCTCCGGCCCGAGGGCCCTGGCCAGACAATCACGGTGCCAGCCAAGGGAAAGCCTACAGGCTAGCTCCAGGACCCCGGCCCCGACCCGGCCGCGACGGCACTGACCTCTCTTGTGCAGCCAACCTTCCTTCACGATGGCCACGTCGTTCATGGCGCCCGGTTCCAGGAGCTGGGGCAACCCCAGCGCCACTCACGGTCCCCTCTCGGCAGCGTCACCCTGAGCCCAGCCGATGTACCGAGCGTCTGGAAGAATTGAAGGGAAGGGTGTGAGGCGGTGTCCGGGTTGGGGCCACCCCTCCAACCCCACGGTGAGCCCGGGAAGCGCTCTGCACCTAGGGTCCCATTTGGGGCCCCTTTCCCACATGGCCGCCCCGCTCACGGCCACAGAGCTGCTGCCGCCCCCCACTTGCTTCACCACAGCACCTGACAGAACATTCACGTGATTCCATCTGTTCCCTGGGGCCAGGCCTCCCCTGCCCCTGGGGTGCAAGCCCCCGCCACCCCCTTTGACCCCCCAGACCTCAGCCTGTGACGCATCATGCATATGCCTTTGTACAGATCACCCCCATCCCCAAAAGGCCCTCCTCACATATTCCAGCCTCCATAACCTGCCCCCCAGCAGAGGCCACCTCCTCCAGGTGGCCCCTCTGACTGCTTGGCCTGCCCAAGCCGCTGGTAAGTTGCCCCTGTTCTCCCTGCCCATGCTGTAACCCCCCGCTCCCATAGGCCAGGGTGCTCTGAGCAGGCCCAAGATTCCTCCTTCTTGCCCCAGACTAGGAAAGAAGAGAAATTCAAACACGAAGCAAGTAGGGCCAGGAGACCAGGCGACTGGCGCCAATGAGAGCCCAGAACCCTCCGGGGTGACATATAAACCCCTCCCCAAGAAACCCCAGGCCCCTCCTAAACCACAGGAGCCCTGCTGTTCTGAATCTGGCTCATTCATAGGGCCAGCATGTGGCCGGCATCCCTGGTTTTGCCAGGATCAGCCCTGGGGACAAAGAAAGGTTCGGATGGGTCCTGTCTGTAAGCAGCAGCACCCAGTCCCAGGTGGTTACGAGCCCATAATTACAGCATTCCGGAGGCAACAAACGGGGGAGGTGTGCAGTCCACCAGCAGCCTTCTCCTGAACATACACTTTGGCCATTGAACCAGAAGGGTCCTTCCCATCTCTCCCTGCTGGATGAACTCCTAGGCATCCCTCAAAACCCAGTTCAAACATCACCCATTCTGGGCATCCCAGGAAAGAGCACTCCTCTGCTAGCACCCCACAGAAGCACTCCTGAGGGCAGACCGGCAGAGACCCCCTCCCCCACCCCTAGGCAAGGAGGACCCCTGAGGACCTCTACACTGGATCCCAGCACGGGTTTTCCTACAGCTACCTAGGCGTTCCCGGGCAACACACCTCACTGGCCTCCTGAGGCGGGGGTTGGGACCCAGAGAAGGGCTGCTGTGCACAGAAGGTCCTAGGTTAAATGTAGTAGAGCGGGAAGACCCCACTGCCTGTGTCTCCTGCCAGCCCAGAGAAGACCCAACTCTGTCCCAGGAGGAACGGGCCCAGTAAGCTCAGCAGGCCATGGGGCAGCGACAGGCAGCAAGCAAGATGGAGGAAGGAAGAGACCTCCAAGGACAGGGCTCTGTGCCCCTGCACAGAAGAGGGGAGGCCTGGAAGGGAAGGGGGGCCCCCTCTGGTGACACAAGTGGGCGTGGCCTGGACACAGAGGGCTGGACCCAAAGACCTCTAGATGTCCCCCGCCCTCACCCCGCCTAAGCAGAGCCTGCTGCTGACAGACAGCTGCCGAGCCCCGTGTGTAAAAATATATCTGTGCTCACGCGTGGGGTGGTGCACACTCGCAGAGAAATGAACAGACCACGCCAGCGCCTGGGCTGCCGCTGGGCACAAGGCCAAAGGGACGGAGGGTCCCCTTTTCCCACGACCACACTGCCAGTGCCTTTACCATAAAAGTGTGTCAGTGCCATGATTGTTTACGGAACAACTTACCCAAAATTTGCTTGTGCTCTTAAAGGACCCCCTCTGTCTCCAAACACTGGTTTGTGAACTGCATGTTCAACTAGGGGAGGGCAGGGAACCCACACCCCCCGCCCCCGTGCACCCCCGCCCTTCACTTGGCCCAGGGGCTCAGAGCAGCCAGGGGTAGCCTGGAGCAAGCCTGGGGGGCCCTCTGGCTACAGAGCACAGGCCCGTGCCCCCTACTCTGTCCACCATGGCAATACACAGGAACCAGTCAGCGGGTGGGCAAGTTCACCAGTCGCCCCCCCACCCCCCAACTTGGGAGGCAAGTCCCAGCCCCTCGCCGCGCCCCAGCCTCCGGGATGGGGTGGGCAGGTCCTCCAAAGCCCACCCAGGTCAGGAAGCAGTTTCGGCCGGGGGGTTGCTAGTCCTTCGGGGGCCGGCCGGGCACCTCGCCATCGCGCACAACTTCTCCTCTAGGAGCGAAAGAGGGCTCCTTCCAAGGCCCACCCACAAACCTGAACGACGGCGGGGGCCCCTGAGCACCCACTACGCGCCGCGTCCGCCTGGCCGCCGCGTCCGCCTGGCCCCCGCGTCCCTCGCCCCTGCCCAGCCCGATCGGCCGCTTCCCCAAGGTCATGAGGGAGGCCCGGGCCGCGGCCCGCACCCCCGCCGCCGCCGCCGCCGGCCCGACCCCGTGCCCTCCCCGCCCAGGCCGCGCTCGGCCACTTCCTGCTCCGCTCCTCCACCCCGGCTGCGCGCAGCCCGCGCCCCGGGCCCCGCCGGCCGGGAACAAAGCGCCGGGCCGCGGGAGGAAATCCGGGCCCCGGCGGCGGCGGGCGGGCGCGCGGCGGGCGGGCGGGCGGGCGGGGACTCACCGGGCGCAGCGTCCAGGCCAAGCGCGGGCCTAGCCGGGCCGCGGCCTCCGGCGCCCTCCGCTCGG